GTGCCTGTTCAAATTGAAGATATTATTATATATATCTCTTTTCTTATATTCAAGAGAGAGGATCAGTAACTTATTCTTGGAAGATCTTGGCAATTTGCTGTCTGTTGGAAGTGCAACATCTTATAAGACAGTAAAGTGAACTGTAAAATTTATAATAAGGAACAAAGATGTTATCTAGTTTTTGAAGACTTTAAGCTAAACTCAAGCAACATGAGATATGTAACTGATAAATTGAATAGTGATTATTTAAATAATTCAACAGATATTTAATCAGGCAGGTGCCTGTAGATACAAGACCTGAGAAGAATGAAGAAGATATAATAAAGATGATAGATATAAGAATTAATAATGAGAAGATTGAAGATCAGGAGATTGAAAAGAATAGAAAAATCAGAAGCATTAGCAATAATGCTGGTGTTGGCAATTACAGCAATAAGAAGAAATATAATTCCAGCATTGGTGAATTCAAAAGCATGCTAAGCCTAATTAAATTGACCAGCACACTAGTGAATCAAATAAATCAATCAGAAGACAAGAATAATTTTGCATCAGAAGTTCAGATTTTCCAATCTCTGCTTTCCAATCCAGACAGCATCACAGCTCACTGCAAATATTACACATGTGATATAAATTCTAGTTTAATTCAAAAATCTATTCCACAAAGTGCTTGATCAATTTATACATCTCTGAACAAAAATCACAATTTTGTCATAAAGAAATTGTGTCAGATAGATATTTTCAATAGTGAATAGAACATCAGACCATCTTCTTCAGAGGTCTGGAGAGTGTGCACTGCTTATAAGCAGAAAGCTGATAAGATAAGATTATTAGTATCTGGAAAATCTGATGGAAGCAAGCCAGAAGATCTAAATAATTGGGTGGATGTTTATTTAGATAAGTATTACTCTGAGAAGAAATGTGTTGTGTTTAATTGTGAATTTGATAACTATATTAGATCTAGAATTGCACTCTTTTCTGTTAGAGAATGGCTAACAAATAAGAAAATTGAGAAGCTTAAAATTGGATTCAAACTGACAAGTCAGAAGAAGAAATTTTTCATATTAGTTCTTTATAAACATGAAGAAGTGTTGGCTTGGTTATTCAAAGACCTATATAGTATTCATTCTGAATACTTGCCTTCCCAGATTATTCAGACAGAGCCTCATAAGACTTGGCAGACTAAGACTTACCAAATTTCTCATGCTCTATATAATAAGCTAATTAAAATCATTCAGGACAGATTAGAAGCTAAAATGTTGAAGTCTTGCCATAATTTATATATCAATCCCTATTTTCTGGTCACAAAGAAACAGAAAGACAAATATTATTTAGTTAATGCAGCATATATGTACAACAAAGTTACTATTCAGAACACTTTTATTTCTTCTAATGTTGATGAATACACTGAAGACTTTGGTGGACTTGTTATGGCTAGCCTATACAACTTATTCTCTGGATACAATAATTTTCTGTTAGCTGAAGAAAGCAGAGATATGACAGTCATTGCAATCTCTATTGAGCTCTTTCACCATACAACTTTAGTCCAAGGGGCAACAAATTCACCAGCTCAAGCTCAACACAGGATAATAAAGATAATACACAAGGTTTTTTCAGAGATTGCTCAAGCCTTTATGGATGACCTTGAGATAAAAGAATTACATGTCAAAGATGAAACTGAAGATCTTCCAGAAATAAGAAGATTTGTTTATAATCATCTGCAGAATCTAAACTATATTCTATAGCTTGTTAAAATCTCTAAAGCTAGAATCTCCAGCACCAAATCTCAATTCTGCATGTCTGGAGTTAATATTGTTGAATGAGTCTGCAACTTTGACAGATAATGATCTGAGAAAGCCAAGATGGCTAAAATTGCAAATTAGTCTACTTCTACAAGCATTACAGAATTACAAGAATTTCTAGAGCTTGCTAGATATTTCTGAATACTTATAGAGTATTATAGTTGGATAACCAAATCTTTACATTATCTGCTTCAACAAAATATTATATGGACATGGACTGAAGAGCAAAATAATATCTTTATACTTTTGAAAGAAAAGTTATGTTCATTCTCTATTGTTCTTCCAATTAATTATGAACAAGATCCTTTGCTTATTACTGTGGCTGTTGATGCCAGTGGATTAGAATGAGGAGAATGCATTATTCAGAAGCAATAAGAAGCTTGACATCCTGTATAATATGAATTCACAGTATGGAATGATTCAGAGAAAACATATAATGCTGGCAAACAAGAATGCAGAGCTGTTTTGAAAGTCTTCAAGAAATTTCAACACCATATCTATAGAGTGCCTTTTACTTTGGAAATCAATGCAAAAACTCTTGTTGCCTAACTTAATAAAACTGCTACAGATGTTCCAGAAGCTTTGGTTATCAATTGAATAGCTTGAATACACCTCTTTGACTTTACTATTAAACATGTTCCTGGAACAAAACACACAGCTGCTGACAGACTATCTTGCCAAGAACTAGATATTGAGAAATAGCCTGAATCTGAAGAAGATGAAGATCTGTTTGCCTTTATGAATTCTATAAGAGTTTTAGCTGGCTGAGCTCTTGATAGTGAAGATCTTAGAATACTGGACTACATATATTCAGAAGAATTGGAGAAGATTGCACAATATCTAACCACTCTATCAAAATTATTGAGCATGGAAGAGAAAGAGTACATGAAATTCTGAAGAAAGGCAATTAAATATGTGATGGAGGCTGATCAACTATTTAGATAAGTGGGATCTAGAGTGCCTCTAAGATATGTTGTGGACAACAAAGAACAGCATGAATAAATTTTACACATAATACATAATAAATTTAATCATAAACAGTGAGAGAGAACATACTCTGCCCTACAAGCTCAATACTGGTGATCAGAAATGTATAAAGATGTGTCTGCATATATAAAGTACTGTTCTCAATATTAATAAAGAGATTCACAAAGATTGAGTGAAGAGCTTCATCCTATCTGAGCTTCTATCTGTTGGAAGAAAGTTGGAGTGGATATCAAGCATATGTCTTCCTGTTGAGAACAAAATTATTTGGTTGTTATCAGATATGACTTCACTAGATAAGTGAAATCTAAAGTCTTGAAAAAGACAACAGCTGAAGCTGTGGCCAAATTTCTTTATGAGAATATCATCTGTCAATGAGGCCTGCCTGCCAAATTTGTTATAGATGGAGGACCAGAGAATAAGAATGTTGTGAAGATCTTACTGAAGAAATTCAACATTAAACACATTGATATTTTGCTCTATAATTCTCCTGCAAATGATATGGTGGAAGTTGGCTATAAGTCTTTAACTGATGAGCTAGCTAAAGCTACCAATGGCACTGGAAGAGATTGAATTAAATATCTTCCTGCAATTCTGATGGCAGATTGAATGATGACTAAGACTAGTACTGATATCTTCTCTTATAGATTACTAATGAACCAGGAGGCAGTTCTTCTGATTGAATTTAAGATTTCTACTTGACAAATAATTCTCTGGTGAAAGATTCAAACAACTGAAGACCTGCTTCTGATATAAGCACAACAAATTAAAAGATGAGATAAGAATGTTCTGGAAGCAGCACATCATCAGCTCTGAATATATGCTAGAAATAAGAAATACTTTAATAATACCCACAATATTTGGACCAACTCTCTTCTATCTGGAGACCTTGTCTTGCTTCACAATACTAAAGGGGAACAGAATATATCTAGGAACAACACTCTGTGCTTTTGATAACTAGAACTCTATAAGATTAAGTCTCCTAATCAAGAACTAGGTTCCTATCATCTTAAAGAGTTAGATGGTACTGAACTCAAAGAATCTATTGCAGGAAACAGATTGAAGAAGTACCTTATGAAACCTGGAATGAAGCCATTTAATGATAGTGTAGTGGGGATTCCAGTACCTCATTAGGACAAAGGTTGTTCTGGTCTGAGGCACAAACCACCTCAAAGATACTATTCTTGAGCTATATAAACCACCTGTAGCCCTGCATCTTGCTTATTACCTTCACACACCATTGCTCTTTTCTACACACCTGTTCCTTACTACCAGTTCAGTTATTAGTTAGAGAATATGAAGATTTCTTGTTTATGAAACTTGCTACTGTTTTTTATTTGAGCTGTCTGTGTTAGTACAAAGCTCTTTAGTACTATTACTTCTTGTGAGCTTAGGTGTCTGTTAGAACATATCTATCTCTACACTTACTACTCAACCATACTCTTACTATGTTGTGATTTTTCATCTTTCTTGCGCTCTCACCATATCAACCAACTCACCTACTTTGATGAGGCATCCCATCATACCCTGCTCCATTTGGTGACCAAGCTGAGACCTGAAGATGATGATGCAGTGATTTGATGACTGCCAAGGGAGAAAAACAAATTCTGAGACACATGAAGCAATACACTATTTCAAGATAAGATCTTATAGACTAGGAACACAGTACTAATCAGATTTTTTATTTAGAAATAAGATTAAAGAGCTTAGATTTGAATGTCTCTTATCTAGAGCTTGTCTGATAAACAGGTTTTTGGAAGATATTGACTAATAGACAGAATATACTGTGTAACATGACCAAAGATCAAGAAATCAAGAAATTGATATCAGAATCAACTATGGCTGAAGATACTACAGAATCATATGCAACTATATCACAGGGTGAGGACAAGAGAATTATAATTCATTCCCACATTTCTATGCCTTTCCCTGGCACAGCAAATGCACCTTGATTTGATGGCAGAGATGCTACTCTGTTTATTGAAAGATTTTATCAGATGTGCAAGAATTATGGAGTAATTGACCCTAAAAACATTATTGAATGGTTGGCTAGGTACTGTGTTACATGGATTGGAGGATGAATGAAGACCTTGAAAGACTACAAAGAAGGTAATTGAAAAGTATTCTCCAAAAAGATTATTCATGAATTTTGTAATCAAGACATTACTTACAAGATTTACTGTTGGGATTATCTCCAGACAATTACAAAGAAACCACATGCTTGGGATGGCAACATTTGTGCCTATGTTCAAGAATACACTACTATTGCCAGTACAGTACAAGCCAATGGAAGGCTTGATGAATTCACTAAAATGTCTTGATTTCTTCAGGGGCTACCTGAGAAGCTTCAGAATAAGATTATTGACAAGGCCAAGCTCAATCTTTCAGACAATATATCACCTAGTGATTTTAGGAAAGTTGTTCAGATGACTATGGATTTGATCAACCAGTATGAAGAGAATAAGAGAATCTTTAAAGAAGATAAAATGAAACAGAAGAAAATGAAGAAGCTTGGTAAGTGATATCAATTAACTAACAAACCCCCTACAGTTGAAGCTCCAAAGAAAGCAGCTAGTTTTGCAAAGACTGAAGAATCTGAATTAAAATCCAAAGTCAAGAACTCTAACAGTGCCAATATTGAAGCTGCTATTGAAAAGATGACCAATAAGTTCACAAATTTGGCATTGGCCATAAGAGTACAATCAAATCAGATACAAGAGAATTCTGATCAGTATTATATACTGCAGAGATAAGGACCTCCAAAATCTATATCAAATTATCCAATAAATGTGACTGTTAATTCTATAATGGTACAAGAGAATACTCAACTGCCAGTCAACCTCTATTTAGCTTGAAATGGCTCTCCTATAACAGGCTATAGTGGTGCTTGTGGATGAGAAGGAGCTTGAACTGGAGGAATTTCAACATGTCTCTGATGCTTCTACTGTGGAAAACCTGGACATTGTCAATCTCAGTGTTATGAATACCAATCTGATATAAGTAATGAATACTGCCATATTGATGATGAAGGAAACTTATGCATAGGCTCTAAGAGTCAAAACTATTGAGTTGTCACTCCTAAATCTGGAATCCTGAACATGTATATTGTATGGTCTATGGGAGAGGATGAATGGGTGATTCCAAAATCAACAAGCTCTAAAAAGAAGATCAATCAGCAAGAAGAGATATCTCCAGCAAATTCAACCAATATGAAGGTTCAAGCAGAATAACTTGCATATCTAATATCTGATGGAGAATCTGATTTGGATAAGGAATATAAACTATTGAAAGAAAGAATGTCAGTTAATATTGGAACAGTTGGAGAAGCTAAGAACAATTAAAGAGCTAAGATTGCAACACCTCATATTCAGTATACTGGACAATTTATTACTTACTGGAATAATCAGGCTAGTGTTGATGATGATATCATGAAAGATGTTGAACCTATCAATTAGATGAAGCCTGAAATTCAGAACAAGTCTGTAAAGAAATAAAGATAAAGATATTCTGCAACAGATTGTTTATCCTCTCAGATCTGTGATTCAATGGATGCCAATGAATTAATGGGTCAAATTCTCAATGGAAAAGTTGAATTATCAGTCAAGAAGCTTATAGATGTATCACCAAAGCTTTATTAAGCATTCTTTGGATCAGGCTGGAATAACAGTACTAGCAAAAGCCATGCAAAGGTTGGAGTCTCTGAATCAGTTCAGCCTGAGCTAAAGATTAATTCTGGTTGACTTACATCAAAGCCCATGGTGCCAAATCCAAAACAGTATATGGAATGTGTTTGTTATATGTGCCCAGTCACTATAAACCAACAAGAATTAATGATGTTGATTGATACTGGCTCAGAAATTAATTTGTTATCTTGGAAGTATGCTGAAATGTTGAATCTGCCAATGAAAAGTAAGCTGTGAGTGACCATGGTTGTTCAAATGGAAGAAGTTGCTCCTTTTTACATGTTTTGTAACAAAGTGCCTGTTTAAATTAAAGATATTATTACACATACCTCTTTTCTTATATTTAAAGAGGGGGATCAGCAACTTATTCTTGAAAGACATTGGCAGTTTGCTGTCTGTTAGGGATGCAACACCTCAGAAGATAGTGGAGTAAACTGTGAAATTTATAATGAGGAATAAATGTGTCATCTAGTTTTCAAAGACTTTAAGCTAAACTCAAGCAATATAAGATATGTGACTGATAAATTAAACAGTGATTATTTAAACAATTCAACAGGCATTTAATCAGGCAGGTGCCTGTGGATACAAGGCTTGAGGAGAATAAAGAGAATGTGATGAAGATGATGGGTATAAGAATTAATAATGAGAAGGTTGAAGATCAGAAGATTGAAAAGAATAGAGAAGTTGGATGCATTAGCAGCATTGCCCATGTTGGTGATTACAGCAATGAGAAGAAACATAATTCCAGTATTGGTGAATTCAAAAGCATGCTAAGTCTAATCAGATTGACTAGTGTGCTGGTGAATCAAATGGACCAATCAGAAGACAAGAATAATTTTGCATCAGGAGTTTAGATTTTCTGATCTTTACTTCCCAATCCAGACAGCATCACAGCTCACTGCAAACATTACACATGTGATATTAATTTCAGCTTAATTTGAAAATCTATTCCATAAAGTGCTTGATCAATTTACACATCTCTGAACAAAAATCATGATTTTGTCACAAAAAAATCATGTCAGATAAACATTTTCAATAATAAATGGGACATCAGACTGTCTTCTTCAGAGATCTGGAGAGTGTGCACTGCTTATAAGCAGAAAGCTGATAAGATAAGATCATTAGCATCTGGAAAATCTGATGAAAGCAAGCTGGAAGACCTAAATAATTAAGTGGATGTTTGTTTGGATAAGTATTATTCAGAGGAGAAACACATCACATTTAATTGTGAATTTGATGACTATATTAGACCTAGAATTGCACCCTTTTCTGTTGGAGAATAGCTAACAAATGAGAGAATTAAGAAGCTCAAAATTGGATTTGAACTGACAAGTTAGAAGAAGAAATTTTTCATATTAGTTCTTTATAAATGTGAAGAAGCATTGGCTTGGTCATTTAAAGATCTATATAATGTTCATTCTGAATACTTGCCTCTTCAGATTATTTGAATGAAGCCCTATAAGGCTTGGCAGACTAAAACTTACTGAATTTCTTGTGCTCTATATAATAAGCTAATTAAAATCATTCAGAACAGATTAGAAGCTAAAATATTGAAGCCTTGCTATAATTTATATACCAATCCCTATTTTCTGGTTGCAAAGAAATAGAAAGGTGAATATTATTTAGTTGACACAGCACATATGTATAACAAAGTTACTATTTGGGACACTTTTATTTCTTCTAATATTGATAAATACACTGAAGACTTTGGTGGACTTGTTATGGCTAGCCTATGTGACTTATTCTCTGGATATGATAATTTTCTGTTAGCTGAAGAAAGCAGAGATATGACAGCCATTACAATCTCTATTAAGCTCTTTTGCCATATGACTTTAGTTCAAGAGGCAATAAATTTGCCAGCTCAAGCCCAACACAGAATAATGAAGATAATACATAAGATTTTTCCAGAGATTGCTTGAGCCTTTATAGATAATCTTGGGGTAAAAGAATTGCATGTCAAAAATAAAACTAAAGTTCTCTCAGAAATAAGAAGATTTGTTTATAATCATCTGCAGAATCTGAACTATGTTCTATAGCTTGTCAAAATCTCTAGAGTCAGAATCTCCAGTGCTAAATCTCAATTCTGCATGTCTGGAATCAATGTTGTTAGATGGGTCTGCAACTATAACAGACAACAACCTGAGAAAGCCAAGATGGCTAAAATTGCAAATTGGCCTACTTCTACAAGTATTACAGAATTACAAGAATTTCTAGAGCTTGCTGGATATTTCTGAATACTTATAGAGCATTATAGTTGGATAACTGAATCTTTACATTATCTGCTTTGACAAAATGTTATATGAACATGGACTGAAGAGCAAAATAATATCTTTATACTTTTGAAAGAAAAGTTATGTTCATTCCCTATCATTCTTTCAATTAATTACAAACAAGATGCTTTGCTTATCACTGTGGCTGTTGATGCCAGTGAATTAGAATGGGGAGAATGCATTATTCAGGAGCAACAAGAAGCTTGACATTCTGCATGATACAAATCCAGAGTATGGAATGATTCAGAGAAAACATATGATGCTGGCAAACAAGAATGCAGAGCTGTTTTGAAAGTCTTCAAGAAATTTCAACATCATATCTATAAAGTGTCTTTTACTTTGGAAATTAATGCAAAAACTCTTGTCACTCAACTTAATAGAACTACTACAGATGTTCCAGAAGCTTTAATTACTAATTAAATAGCTTGGATACACCTCTTCAACTTTACTGTTAAACATATTTCTGAGACAAAACACACAGCTGCTGATGGACTGTCTCATCAAGAACTAGATATTAAGAAACAGCCTGAATCTGAAGAAGATGAAGATCTGTTTGCCTTTATGAATTCTATAAGAGTTTTAGCTAGCTGAGCTCTCAATAGTGAAGACCTTAGAATACTGGACTCCATATATTCAGAAGAATTGAAGAAGATTACATAATACCTAACCACTCTATCAAAACCATTGGGCATAGAAGGGAAAGAGTACACAAAATTTCAAAGAAAGGCAATTAAATATATGGTGGAGGCCAATCAGCTATTTAGGCAAGCAGGATCTGGTGTGCCTCTAAGATGTGTTATAGATAACAAAGAACAGCATGAACAAATTTTACACATAATACATGATGAATTTAGCTATAAAGAGTGAGAGAAAACATACTCTGCTCTACAAGCTCAATACTGGTGGTTAGAGATGTTTAAAGATGTGTCTGCTTATGTAAAGCACTGTTCTCAATGTTAACAAAGAGATTCATAAAGATTGAGTGAAGAGCTTTATCCTATCTGAGCTTCTATCTGTTGGGAGAAAGTTGAAGTAAATATCAAGCACATGTCTTTCTGTCAAGAACAAAATTATTTGGTTGTTGCCAGATGTGACTTCACTGGATGAATGAAAGCTAGAGTCTTGAAAAAGACAACAGCTGAAGCTATGGCCAAATTTCTTTATGAGAATATTATCTGTTGATGAGGCCTGCCTGCCAAATTTGTTATGAATGGAGAATCAGAGAATAAGAATGTTGTGGAGACCTTACTGAAGAAATTCAACATTAAACACATTGTTATTTTGCTCTATAATTCTCCTGTGAATAGTATGGTGGAAGTTGGCCATAAGTCTTTGGCTGCTGGGCTAGCTAAAGCTATTAATGACACTGAAAGAGATTAGATTAAACATCTTTCTGTAATTCTGATGGTGGATTGAATGATGACTAAGGCTAGTACTGGTGTCTCCTCTTATGAATTGCTAATAGAGCAGAAGACAGTTCTTCTGATTGAACTCAAGATTCCTACTTAGCAAACAATTCTCTAGTAAAAGATTCAAATAACTGAAGACCTGCTTCTAATACAAGCACAGCAAATCAAAAGACAAGATGAGAACATTCTGAAAGCAGCACATCATCAGCTCCAAATGCATGCTAGAAATAAGAAATACTTTAATGATACTCATAATATTTGGACCAACTCTCTTCTACCTGGAGACCTTGTCTTGCTTCACAATACCAAAGAGAAACAGAATATATCTAGAAACAACACCCTGCACTTTCAATAGCTAGAACCCTATAGAGTTAAGTTCACCAATCAAGAACTAGGTCCCTATTATCTTGAAGAGTTAGATGGCACTGAACTCAAAGAATCTATTGCAGGAAACAGATTGAAGAAGTATCTTATGAAATCTGGAATGAAGTCCTTCAATGATAGTCCAGCAGATTCTGATGTAAAGATGGAGAACATCTCTCAAAAATATGCCACCAGAAGTTAACCTAACATTTCCTCTAGCAGTTCCTCAGATGTCAGCTTCTTGAATCAGAGTGAGAATGAAAATGATCAAGAAGAAATGGAGCAAATGCAATTTCCAACTGTTATACCAGACAACTGGAGTTTTGCTGTTGTTATACCTTCACAAGATGTTTAATTTGTTGTGTTTTATTTGCAAAAGTGAAGTTTTTGCTTGCTTATTTGGGAAGTTTCTTTTATTTGCCTGCAAAGTGAAGTTTTTGCTTGCTTATTCAGGAAGTTTCTTTTATTTGCCTGCAAAGTGAAGTTTTTGCTTGCTCTTTTGAGAAGTTTCTCTTTCTTTATTATTTGCATAAGCCTTCACTTTTTCTGAATTTTTAAAAGACATTAAAGACTGATTTTTCTTCCCTGAAGCTTTTACTTTCTTTTACATTCAAGCTTGATTCTTTTTACAGATTCAACATTTATTCTGTTATTCTGATATTTGCAAATTTTTTTGATCACTGATATCCTTCAAAAATGACTGGACAAAGCAACTTGCCTCCTCTGGCACCTGCACCTGAAAACCAAGGCCTGGTTGTTACCAGAGACAGTGGAGTCAACTTGGATGACCATTTCTTCAATAACCTAACAGCAGCTACGGAATACATTAATAACCAATCTCTGCACTGCTGCTATAGTCTACAAGTTGAGCTGCTGAACACACTTATGCAAGTGACTGATGTGATTACTGACTTAGTGGCTTATTTCTATTGATACATTGAAAGATCTAGAGCTTGGCAACATGTTACACACACCAATTTTGAAGCTGATTTCCATGATGCTTGAAAGATTATCCTGGATATTGAATGACATTGTATTGATATGTAAAAGATCAAGAATAAACTTGTTGTTACATGAAGTATAGACAGGATTAATGCCATATGGCTAAAAGTAGAGAGCTTGTGAATCACACAAAAGCTTTGCTATATTCTAAATGTCTACAAGAATTAGAATAAGTTCATCAACAATATTAACAGTGTAGTGCTCTGAAGACTAGATGCTACAGGAGCTGGACATTGCCAGAGCTTAGCTATATTGCTAGATAATTATACTACAGCTGATAAAGAAGTTAATTATACTTGTGAACTTTCTTCAAGAGATACTCTACACTAACAAGAACTTACTATTGAAAACTATAATCTTCTACAGCTGTTGGCTCTTCCACAGTCATCTAGCTCCCAATGTTCAATTCAGGATATCACTAGGAGCCCTCCCACTGCAAGCAGCCTCTGAGATCTACTAGAAGAACCACAGTCACCAAGATCACCAAGTGATGTTCCAATGAGTGGAATGTCAATGCCACATAGCCACAATGTATTGGGAGCCTCTATACATAGTACAATGTCAATTAGATTGTGTGGATTGGAAACTGGCCAATCACAGCCACTATTTGGATTCACCAGTACACTGGCCAATCCACCCAGTCAATCAGAAGCTTCAAAGTACTACAGTAAAAGAATTGCAGCCATGTTAGTACACCAAACTCTTCAAGATCTAGACAACAAAGATGAGTCTGTTATTTCTCCTGAAAGTAATGAGAAAATACCCCAACATGAACAAGAAGAATTTATCATGACAGTATGCTCTGGTACTTGCTATTGCTGTAGTTTCAAATAGCAGCTTCTCCAAAAGATAAAGAGTACTAAAACACATTCAGAATTGAAGCTTATTCACATTCTGGAGCAATTAGAAAAGATCTTTAGCAATAAGAAGCTAATATCTATCTATACTATAACCATGCAAAACTAATAACTTCAAAACTTGATTTACAGACTTGCACACTTAATAAGGAGAAGCTTCTCAATCATTCAGCTTACATCTATAGAAATTGTTGTAATATTAGCTTAGTTAAGACTGATGACAGTATCTATCTCTGGTTCTGTTTGGTAAATAGATCAGCTAGAGCTGAAGATGCTTTAGGCATTTACAAATTCAAACATCAGCCAATTATTTCTCTGATTGCAAACATGAGAACATTCAACTTCAACTAATACACACAAATAACTGAAGTTAACAAGTTCACCACCAGCAATCTTCAGAAGAAATGGGAAATAACTGAGTCTGTTGTCATTTTCTAGCTAATACACTAGTGGAACAACAAGTTACAAGGCACCACCACCACAGTACTTATCCAGATCAATGGTGAATATGATATATACTACCATCATTAGTGAATAATGGGAGGTTGTGACAATTATGGATGGTTAAGAACAATGTATCACAGTATTAGTCAATAACTTATACACCAGAACTCTGCATACTATTTATAGTATGTACTGACAAGACCTGACCATGCTTGGAAATTAATCTCCTATTCATACTATGCCAAGTATGCTAAGCCAGAGGACAAAACTGAGTTTTATCATATTGATATCAATATTTCAGATGCTATTACTACTGAAAGAGGCATTAATATGATACAAGAATTCTTGATCTTAACTGCAGAAGAGCCCAGTGACTGTACAGAAATCTTGCCAGAAATGTATAATTTTCTAGAGAATTGATAGAGACTAGTTAAAGAATGAGACTTATCTACTGATAGCTATGTTCACCACATTAAAGATATAATATATATCAAGAATAATAAAAGAAAATTTAGTATTAGGTGGACTGATGTTATTTGCAAATCTGATGATGTTGAAATTACAAGCTTTCTGCTACACCATGAAGTCTATAGTTCATGCAAAAAGATCTGATGCACTATGCTACCCTGGTATGTGGCAATCCAAGAGGATCATGAACATCTAGAAATTAATAAAGCCAGTACATGGTCTCAGCTCTCTGTTACATATAGAGATCTAGTTCCAGGGCCTTCATCTCCATCTGACTATTCAAATTGTTATGCATCAGTTCCATATCAATTCTCTACTGCTATTTAATTACAAGGCTTAGAAGCTATATCAGATGCCCTGGTAGAACAAATTAAATAGAACAACCCCATGATAATTGAGGAACTTGATATTCTCTTTGGCCCTGATGATAAAAAGACTCAGAACTTCATTAATAACTGATATCTAAAGACCATGTGAATTGCTCTGAATGCCATTGTCAAGACTTACCAAATTGAAAAGAAAGCTTTTAGTAATAAATTTTATTGGTATTGTGTGCACAACAACATTAACCCAGCATCAGTTTAGCCTTCTCCTCCTCTTAAGAACTTGGTGAAAGAAGAGAATTATAGTAATCACTATTAGAGATTGCTGCTATCACTCTTCTTATTCTTATTTTCTATGTTTTTTCTTACCAGACTGCTTATTACTATTTATTATTCTCTTATTTTACTAAATTAGTTTTATTTTATTTTATATGTTGCTTGTTATCAGGGGACACCAATATTGAAAGCCAGAAGAAAATATAGTGTGGATTCTGGTATCTTATTAGAACAAAGATTATTCTAGTTCAAGATGCAAACCATCTCAAAGCTACTATTCTTAAGCTATATAAATCATCTGTAGCCCTGCATCTTGCTTATTACCTTCACATACTATTGCTCTTTTCTACACACTTGTTCCTTACTACTAGTTCAGTTATTAGTTAGAGAATATGAAGATTTCTTGTTTATGAAACTTGCTACTGTTTCTCATTTAAGCTGCCTGTGTTAGTATAGAGCTCTTTAGTACTATTACTTCTTGTGAGCTTAAGTGTCTGTTAGAACATACCTATCTCTACACTTACTACTCAACCATACCCTTACTATGTTGTGATTTTTCACCTTTCTTGTGCTCTCACCATATCAACCAACTTGCCTACCTTGACAAGGCATCCCATCATACCCTGCTCCAGTAGCTATCTATAATCATAATAGTAAGTGTCTGATAGTTTATTACTAGAATATTTGTTGACTCTATTAGTTTTCTTAACTTCAGACACATTAGAAGGTTCTACTTCTTCTGCTAGAACATCTTAAAAACAACCAGAAGTCTTTTCAGATCTTTTTAAAACAATCTCAAACCTCTTCTATATCAAAAAAATAGAAAAAAACACTGAAAGTATAGCTCAGACTATAGCTACAGTTCTTTCTGAGATCAAGTTCTCATGCTTCTCAGGGGGGCAGACCTATTAGTTGCAACATATTCTTATAGCACAAAGTTATAGTTAAAGAAACAGGACCCTCATTTACTTAGTCTCAAGAAGAAGTTCATCATCAAAATATTCAGTTACTTTATAAACAACTATATCACTTCAATAGTTCCAAGTGTGATCTTTCATACTATCTTACCAGATTATGAGAATCTCTTATTTATTTATTGTTAATAATTTCTTATTGCTAACTGGTTATAAACATAATACATTCTGTATCTGACTTGAAAGTTCTTATCTATAAGATACTTATCTGTCAGGTCTTACTCTTACATCACTTCTTTGTTTCAGAGTTGACCCAGACTGCTACTACTATCAGTAGCTTGGGCATCCACCATCTAATAGAATAGCAAAGCAGTCTTGTCAACAATAGATTCTTGAATATAACGCCTATCACAAAGAGGTATTAAATAAATACAGTAATAATTTATACTCTAGACTATGTCAAGTACCATTCTTGCACTACCTGTGCGAAAGATAATAGTCTCTTTTTGCAATGTATTGTTGTTAAAAGTATATCTGGTCTTGTGATGGAAAACAGCATCTGTGTGTCCTGTATCTGATCTAACTTTCTTCATGCTTGCTTACTACATTTCAGAATTACTAGATATCAGTCTTCTTCTCTCTAGAAAGTTCTTGATACTTCTTTACATGTTCTTTCTGGCCAAAAGACTAAACTTGTTGCTGCTTCCAGTTCTGATTAGAGTGGTATCTGGTTCCAGGATTTCCTGTCCTGGTCCTGGATTCCCATCCCAATTCCCATTCCAAGGACAGGATTGGGTTGAAGCTCAGCTCAATGAGATGGGACTGGGTTGCTTAACAGCATATTGAGACAGTTCTGTGGGAGCTGAGATTGGGATGGAATTGGGACCAGGATTAAAATCTAGCTAGTAGAATGAGCCTGGGACCTGGTATGATAAAATAGAATAGGACCAGAATTTCAATATTGTATATAAGATGGAACCAGTAAAGTGTAGAATAGGATTAGAATTTCTGGTCCCATTTATGTTGTCAAAAGATAACAAAATTTGGTAATAGTCTTAATATAATTTTATCAATTTATTTAACTTTGAAAAAGTAACAAATTTTAGTAATACTTTTTGCATAATTGAATTATATTGCAAGCTATTAGCTACTTAAGTTTATCTATTGATAACATTGATATATTTTCTATTTCTCATCTGGGTTAAGTAGTGGATTTAGCAGGCTTGCAATCTCTTTCCATACAATCTCTGGAGTATCTTGATTATCTTGATTATCTTGAATGACTTTCTTGACCAACTTCTTATAAAATATAAGTACTTTATTCAGCATATGCATCTTGTCTTTATGTTTAAGCAGTATAATCTTCTTGATTGTAGATGCATGAAGCTATAATTATTGATAATAACATGTATTCTGAGTAATATTGAAAACCTATTCTACTTCAACTTCTGTTAAAGATATAGCCAGAATATTTCTTGTCATCTGAGCAACAGTTGGAAAATCAGACTCTAGCATTCTCTATTGTTCCAGAATTAGAGCTTGAGATAATATTAAATTCTCATCATTTAAATATTGCTTCATTTTATTTTGGAAATTTGCTCATCTTTAATAAAGTTTTTCAAAAATCATTTGCTCAATATTCTAAAGAAGTTAGCAGAGAGAAAATCAGAATAATATTTATAACAAACATATATTATTTACATTAAGTATTACTTCTCTTGGCTGTTTATATTTCTTATAATACTTTTTGTAAAATCTCAAAATATATTGTCAGTATGTTTTATGCTCATCACTAGTCCAATCCTCTGAATTATATACTCTTATGTAGTGTGATGAATGAAGGGCAGCAGCTACAGCTAGCAGCTCATCTTTTGAATACTTAGTATCACTATAGTATTTCTGGAATTTCAAGTTAGCAGCTTTGATAGCTTCTTCAACATTCTCTCTTATTGTTAACTGCTGGATCTTGTTCTTCTCTCTTTCTAAATGTTGAAAAAGATGATTGTAGATTATCCATATCAGATAAATTGTTGGGTCTGTTGTTTTGGATAGTATCTTGATAAATAAACTGAATGACTGCAACAATCTAACTATATACTCTAGCTGCTTCCAGTCATGGTTCAATAAGCAAAGTCTTTGATATTTTGGTGATGAGTTGTGAATTCATAAGTTTACAGCTTGTTAAAGTAACAAGATACAAACACATATCTTATAAATGAAATTCCATCTTATATGAACATCTTGAATTATCTTGTGCTAATTCTCTTGTTAATATTCTTGAAAACATGTAGCAAGTTAAAGAAATACATTGATTGCATTGGTAATAAGATAAATTTATTGTTAAGCAAAGATTAGTAAATTAACTCAAGTATATCAAGACTGTTACCAAATTTTGTTATCTTTCTAAGAGTATTTACAAATGTGTCTGTTGATGCTAGATCATCAGTAATTGAGCTCTCATCAAAAATAGTGGATAAAGTATTATTATCTGGCTGAACCTTGAGATTGCAAACCAGCTTTCAAATTACAAGTTAAATCACATAAGCAAGACAGAGTATTGTCTCACTCTTTATATTTTAATTAGTTATCTTGTTTAACTACTACAATGCTGGTATTAACTGATGTGTAAAATGTGCTTATATAGTATTATTATTTGATGCATTATCACTTGTAATTACAAGAAGATTGCTCTCAAGTCTTCATACTGCTAATAATTGTTGGAGAATTTCTATTATATTCTTGTTAGTATAAGTACTCTCTAAACTTTCAAAACTCAGTAAATACTTACAGTACTTCTAATTCTTTATAATGTAATAACTATTAATTGCTATAAAGATAAGATTATTGGAACTTGTTCAATTATTCACTGTTAGAAATATCTTGATTATTGAGTTAGGATTAAAGAAAAGATTTTGAAATAGCTGATTGTACATATTATTCATAATCTGATATAATGTTTCTTATGTGGGTATCTGTAATACTATTACAGAGTTGAGCATGATTATTAATATACAGAATGCTGAATTCTTAATAGCACAAAATGAGAGATTCAAGAATATTAATATTTGCACAAGCTGCTGGAGAAAATTATCTTAATTATATTTGAGAACAGGCAGATCTGAATCTGTTTGAGAACACTTCAGAAACTGTTGCTAAGACACCAGAACTATTACTATAATTTATTACATTTGTGAAATTAGAATCTGTGATCTACTATTATGTTAACCAGAGTGTTACCCTGTCTGTCACTAGTTTTCATACAATCTTTACTAATTAATGCTTCTTCAGACCACTTGTACTATTCTGAGAAAAGCTTAAATAACTGAGAAAGATTTGGCAATGCTTGCAAATTATTCCTGGAGTACTCTTAGAATACTCTGCTATTTGATCAAATTTTGGCCAAAAATCAAAATGGTGTTGCCTTGTCTTTCAGTTGAGATCACCATGCTTCTTATTCTTAACTAACTGAGCAGCTTCAGTAGTCAACCACTAAGTAATAAACAACTTATAATACAGCTTCTTCTACAATACAAATTATTTTTTACCATGTTGAACTATGGTCAATTCTGAAGAAATCTCTGTAGATTTTGCTTGTTTGCTGGCTTCAGCTATTAATTAGATTTTTTTTTTTCACAATCAAATTAAATTTTCTCAGAGTTCTGCCTTAGTCAAAAAAGTAATAAAATTTGGTAACAGTCCAAGCAAAATTTGACAATTCCCAGCTAGTTAGACCTATTCTACTCTGTACAGTAACCAAACTACAAAAAATCATCATTATCTACAAAATAGAATATTCTTCTTCAGGAAAATAAAACATTTTGCCAATTTAATGGCACCTCATTCTCAAATTAATATAAGAAAAGAACTAAAAACCTAATTTCCTGCTCTAGATATTAATAATCCAATCATCATTCATCTCATTGTTCTTCTTATTATTCTCATCAGAGGACACCACAATCTCAAAATCATCTTTCTCTATCTTTTCTGAAGCAGGTGAGCTATTGTTATCTTCAATCAGACTCTGTAATTAGCTCAGAAATTCTCTCATCTTCTTCTTAACTCTCTCTCTTGACACACCAACTGCAGCAAGATAATTATAATTATAAGCTGTAACTCTGATCTCAAGCCTGACTATTATTTGACAGAACTGAGCCTCTTTATATACAGTAATAGAATACTGCATCTGACTTGTTTTGACTTAAATATATCAGAACTGTTATCAAATTTCATTACTTTTGAATTCTATCTTTTTTTTCTGTCAAGCTTTATTCTTAGTTTTTGTAATCTCTTCTCAGTAATACTTCTTCTCTCCTCTCTCTTCTTTTGCTGAGAGATCATAAGCTGATGCTTATAATACTTCTTTGACTTACTCTTGATAAATTACTTGATTATCAACTCTTCAATAACTTTATCTTTAATTATCTTGTAATTCTTCTTGCTGCTATTCTGTTTGCAATAAATATTAATATAATTCAATACAAACTACTAAGAGTGTATATCACTTATATTTAACTCAGATTCTCTTCAGCATATTATAGTATGTCTTGTAATCTGTCTTTCCTGTCTTGAATATATTTTTTTAATGATCTTTCAAGGTCTGGCAGTGCTTCTGTGCTATACAGATTATAGTATGTCTTGCAATCTGTCTTTCCTGTCTTGAATATATTTTTTTAATGATCTTTCAAGGTCCTATTTTCATAATTGTGTGTGATGAGTTGAATTGAAGGCACTATATAATGAAATTATAAAGTGTATTGACTAAGTACTTGTATAAAATAGTTACTATACACATTGTTTACATTCTACAGATATATTGCTATAGACAAGCTTAATGTGTTATTACTATGCTGGCTACAGAATAATGAGATTATAGAGTGTATTAATCAAGTACTGTAGAATGGTTACTATACATATTGTTTACATTCTATAGGCATGTTGCTATGGGCAAGCTCAATACATTGTTGCTACACTGGCTATAGAATAATAACATTAGATTAGTCTCTCTTTTCTTCTCTTTCTCTTTCTCTTTTTCTTTTTTCTCTTCAAAGCTAACATTAATAATTTTTCTCTCTCTTTCTTTTTATTTACTGCTCTTCAATGTCCCTCTGTATGATGAACTGCACTGTCATAATAAGTCACATTAAGAGATGAGTGCTTGCAGAATACTACTGTGATGCATATTATTTACTGACAAGATGTTAGTTTTCCCCATGCATGTCCATTTCACACAGCTGAAGAGGAGCAGCACAAGACCATATTAAAAGAATAGACTTTGAAGAAGAGTAATTAGTGTAAAGTTAATAAAAATGTTGATCTGACTAAGTTTAATTAGAAGAACCTCTCTCTCTGCCCCCCTGTTCAAAATTGGAAGACTGGCACTTATATATCAAAAAGTAATAATTTTTAGTCACAGTCTTGATGCTAATTAGTGAAAATAGATATCATTAAGAAAATCTGCCACTTTCAGAGCTTTACTGAGCTAATCTTTCTGGTAGCTCTGTTTCAGCAATTGATTCAGAAAATTACTTTATTCTATCATCAAGAAGATGAATATCACTGACAATGTACTACTATTAAGTTACTTCAGAAGATAACTAAAGCAATCTTGTGCACTCTATTTAAGTGTAAGTTATTATTAGTAATGGCACCAACAATTATACTAAGTAATATAGGCTCTGTTATAGCAATGGCATACTGTAAGCATGTTATAGTTAACACTGATAATATAAAGCTTGTGCTTGGCATTAGTGCCAAGATTGAATCAAACTATTTCAGCCTGATTAATGTGCCTGATCACCCCACCCCTGCCACCACTACTCACTGCCTGTGTGCTACCCCTGCTCCACCAACTACCACTGCCACTACTTCACCACCACCACCACTGCCCACTACTGCCTCTCATCTCTCTCTGGTGCTATCAGGGTCTCTGCCCATCAAATGGCAGGTATTAGAGCCCCTGTCTGGTTCACAAAGCCAGTTCTGGAGGAGCAGGAGAAGGAGAAGAAGAAGAAGAAGAAGAAGAAGTGGGAGAAGAAGAAGAAGAGAAAGAAGAAGGAAGAGAATGATGATGATGATGAAGATGATAATAATAATGATAAACTTGCTATTTAGATAGTTTCTGGTTGTTTGCTGGCTTCAGCTATTAATTAGTATTAATACTTTGTTTCTTTTGAGTTTTGACAATCAAATTAGTTTTTCTAAGGGTTCCATCTTTATCAAAAAAGTAATAAAATTTGGTAACAGTCCACACAAAATTTGATCAGTTTAACTCTTCTCTATGAATTTGACACAATAGGACTAGAAAACCCAATCCCATTCTGGTCCTAATATGGACCCAGCCAGGAAAGAAAATGAGAATCTATCTTCTCTGCTGAGATGAAATATGGGACATAATTTTCTATTTGAGAATGAAGCCAGGAAATAATTTATAGGATAGGGATAGGAATAGGATCTCAAGCTCTTGGATGAGATAGAACATGGGACTGAGATTTCATATTTGGGATCCTGACTGGTTCTAAATCCAGGACCAAGACCAGCTTCAATGGGAAATAGGATCCTGTCCTGGTTCTGAATACCAGCCTAGTTCTAATAAAGAAGCATCAAAATCTTCTTCTGCTTTTAAGTAAGTTTCTCTAAAGCTATATCTCCATCTATCAGCAAATCCCTATCAGGCCCTCCATGCCCCACAAATTTTAGTATAATTTTTCGCGCTGTAGATAGTCTTAGTGCTCTTGGCACCATATAATTGCTCTGGTTTTACTCCAGGCCACATTTTTGATTTTCTTGTTGCTCTGAATTAGCTCTGGTTGAGTTCTTCTATCTGTAATGGCTCCTGCCAGGCTTTACCAAATCATTCTTTCATTATCTCTTTTGCTTACCAAGTCACAGTGCCACTTCTGCCAGTACTTTATACTCTTAGCTGTCTGGAAGTTCTAACTTTATATATTAAAATAAATAATTTCAAGGCTAGTAGCATTCTCATTGTTTGTAAAAACTCATGAAGCTACAATTTAGATGTGTAAAAAACTAAAGTACATCATAAATTCTCAGAAACTCTTAATTTCTTGGTGCTACACAGAGGCTGTGTGTGAAGCAGACTTTTATACTTTTAATTGCTAGTATCTGATTTCTTAATTTCCTTGTTACTATTTTCTGTTCCATCTTCTGGTGCCTTATTTTTCTTGTTGTTGTTGTCTGTTTTATCTGAAGATGGCAAGCTGCCAAGATCTGTCAAGAGCAAATTATCAAGATTTATATGTTCCCACTCAATAATGAGTAGTGTATCTGGTGTTAGAACTCTGACAGAAAAAGTGAAGTCTTGTAAAGATTTATGTGAACTATCTGATATCTTCAGATTATCTTCTGTAATTTCTATAACAGTCTCATTCTCTGATAGATCTGCATGTTGTAGAGGCTGCTCTGGATCTGACTAAGCAAACATCTCATTACTAGATTTTACTGATGATTGTATTACAAGAAGAGTCTTGCTGGTTATGATCAGCTTCTTTAATGAAACTAACTTAAGTATTCACTAGATCTTTTTTATAATGTTGTCATCTAATTTCAAGTCTGTCATGTCTTTATATTTTAAATGTGAACAAGTTTGTCCAAATATTTTATAATAGAAGGTATCCACTTGTTTGCACACAATATTCTTAATCTTATTCAGTAGATTTATTATAGTATTATTCTGTTTCTTGTTATCTTTCTGATTTTCAACATCTTCTGAGAGTTTATTTAGCTGTATAGCTAGTTTGTCTTTGAGATCATCAAACAAGTTCTGTGTCATGTCAATGATTTGAGGAATCATCTTGTTTACTTGATTAAATTTAACAAAATAATCAAATATATTCATATTATAAAGAATCCAGATCTGTTACTTTTCTGTTTGATTAAGACAGTGAACTCTTTCCATGATCTGTAAAGTAGTGTTCCCATTAATTACTGGTTCAAGCATGGCAATGTCTGTATAGTAATGATGAATATTAATGTCAAGAGAGCAAGTACTGTAATTGGTGACAAAAACTTCAACATTGCTGTCAGAATTATTGAAGGCATCTTGTATTTTTTGCTATTTCTGAGACAACTGGCCTGCTTGCAGTGAAAGAACATTGTATTCAAGAAGTTTTAAGAAGATTTTGACATGGAACTCAACAGTCAGATAAGTAACAAAGACTAAAAAACAACATCTCTCATCATCCACAAACTTTTTGAAGAATCTTGAGAAATGTCAGGTATTTCTGTGTTGTTAAGCATAAGAATTCTGTGATTCATATGTGATTGACTGAAATACAGAAAATATTGACATCAGTAGTTATTCTGCTTATAAGCTACACAATTTCCTGGGATAAGTAGTACTTTTCATTAATGTCTTGAGAAAGATTACTCTTGCACTTTGCAATGGTTAAAGTAAAAAGATTTTTCAAAGCAAATGAAAATGATGCATGTCTGAGCTGGTGATCAACAGTTATATCAAAACCACTTCTAACATTATTTCTGTTCTCAGAAGATTCTTAAATATTGTTGATAGTCTCTTTCTTCAGTATCAAAACAAGTTGTAAGTGAATACTATAATACACTATCAGCTGTTTTATCTATGTTATTTTACACTTGATCATCTGTACACTATAGCTTGAAATATTTCTATCAATAATAATGTGTTAGGAGAACCAGCTGTAGATCATATAGATTTTCCCAGGATTTGGGGTATGAAAGAGCTAAGTAGATTTCATGCCTGCAACTGATGAAAGAGATTTGTGTGTAGAATGTAGAAGTCCTCCAACTAGAAGACTGAATACTGAGATCTTTATAATCTGTACAAATTGTGTGATTCTTATATGTTCAGAGTTGGGGTCATGTAAGTATCTCTGAACATCTGATGTTATCTGATGCTTGGTTGATTTAGATTTATGTTTGTAACACTATCCCTCTCCCCAGAGGCCTTGGACTCTGAGGCATAGAGCTACTGAAGTAATTTTTTATATGTTGTCATAACTTTCTCTGTTATTGGTGAAGTATTATAGATTCTTGAATGTGCAAGCTTCTGCATTTCTACTGCTTGTCTATATAAACATCCTGCATGTGTATTGCTGCTAGTTGCAGTAGACATTCTTTGTTGTAGAACAGTAATTATTTTATTATAAAAGTTTAGTATTTTATTGCATACTTGTTTCTTTGTTTATTTGTCTGTCTGATTGCTATATTACTTGTTGTCTGTTGTTATGTTATCTATTAACAAGTTATAGAACTAGTAACTTTAGTGTGTTATAATGTAAGTATAAATAGAGAGTTCTTTACTCCCTTCTTTCTTCTCTTTTCTCTACTCTATCTGGATGTGAGTGTTGCTCTTTTTTTGATTTTTAACTTGTCATAATATTATTGTCAAAAGATTCTGTTCTCTATAATGAAGAGAATATTCTTCTGTGCTCTGTTTGCATATATACTCTATATTCATAAACTGTTTGAATGAAGATAAGCCATATATATAGAATGCTGAGAAGAAATTAGGTACATATTACTTAGAATATCAAATCTGTATCTGTTATAATATATATATGTCTTCATCTGTCCCCTTTATTGTTCTGACATAGATATAGATTTCAGAATCTGCTGTTGAACTAGTTTGTTGGCTTTTACAACTTTAAGAAAAATACTATAGTTTTGATACAGCTGATTTATATTGTCTGTACAATATCAAGTGCATGAGTATACTTGTGTGTGAATTTTGTGAGCTTGATTCAGAAGTAACTAAACATTACTACTGCCAGATCACTTTTATTATTAAAGAATCTTCTATAAAATATTATTGTCCTGTCTTATATCATATAGTGAAGACTGTGGATCTTGTGTCTGAAATGAAATCTGTTAAAGATGATCCATCTAAACTTTCTTATATGATTACCTCCATGTCTATTGTTTTGTCACATATAGAGAATAAGATTGGAAATGTCTAAGTCTTACTTGATTACTTTACTGCTTGTTTAACAGATAAAGCCAAAACTCTTTAAGATATTACTGAAACTAGTCTTGTAGATTTTCTTCATCATCTTTACTTATTATTGAACTAACTTCTGTCTAAACCAATCTTATATCTTCTATAGATTGTCTTGTTGATATTATCTTGTCTGGTTTTTAAAGTGTTGTAGAGATACTTTGTTCTTCTTGTAATTCTTTATTTATTATATTTACTTCTGCTGCAGTGCTGTTCATTATTATATCAAATGTACCAGCAACTCCCAAGCCTTGCTTGTTTATAACTGGTTTACCACTATTGTGACTGTGTCTTGAGTGCTCTTGTAATACATTTTTTTGCTGTTAAATTCTTTGTTTTGTTGGTATGTTGTAGTCTTCATGTTTGTTTTGTGTTATATTTATCTTTCTTGATGTATGTAAATTTGTTTATCTTCTGGTAATTATATCTTTACTTTAGGTAATTCTTAAAAGTCTTTTGTGCATTTTTAAGATTTTTCTCAGATTCTCACATTAATTCCTTTATAGAAAATTCTTTCCACTTCACTAGGTAATGTCTCTTGTGATAGTGCACTTTATTCTCTAAGATTTTATCTACTTTCTACTCATGATAGTCATCTACCAGTACCACAGAAGAATATGCTGGCACCTCACTCTTTCTTGTGTGATATAATTTCAACAATAACACATAGAAAACATCATAAATCTGGTAACTCAGAAGAAGCTTCAGTTGATATATATTATTTTCTATGGCCTCTACTACTAAGAAGAGTCTATAGTACTTGTCATCTAATTTCTTGCAAGAATATATTATTTATAGGTTTCTTGATAATAACATCACTTCATCATCAGGTGCATACATCTTGTCTTAACATCTTTAGTTATAGAACTGTGCTTGGTTCTTTTTTGCTTTTATCAAATATTCTATCAGACTATTTCTTAATACAGAGATCATTCTTAGTCTTCTGTTGAGTGTTATCTGTATGTTATTATCAGATAACTTCTGAATCTTATCTGGTTCTTTAGATTCAAAGCTGTACATTGCTTTAAATAGAGATATATACATTACAGAGTGTTCTGACCTGTTGTATGCAAATTCTGCATACACAAGCCACTTCTCCCAATTATCTTGTCTATAACTACAATAGATGCAGAGATATTTCTTCAAGATCTTGTTCAGTATCTCTGTTTGACTGTCTGTTTGTGAATGAAATACTGTGCTAAGTTTTTATTTAACTTTCATGTAAAAATATAGCTCTGACTAATATTCACTCATGAAAACAAATTTCTGATCTGAAACAATATTGTTTGAAAATCTGAAGTCTTTAAACACTCTTTTTAAGAAGAGATTTGCCATCTCTGGTGTGTCAATCTTCTTTCTACATGCAAGAAAATATGCAAGCTTTGTAAATTAATTCACAACAACCAGAACTATATTGTATAGATTTCTCTTCTCTCTACTTGAAGAGAAGTCTGTTATAAAGTCTATAAATATTAAATGCTAGAAACTACTGAATGTTAGCAATGATGCAAGCAGCTTATATAGTTTGTGTGTTGAAGTCTTTTCTTGTTAACAGGTTTGGTATTTGTGTATATATGTCTGGATATTTCATCTTATTAATTATCAATTATATTTTTGTCAGAGCAAGACAAATATCTTTGCCATGCTAAAGTAATCTACAAATAGATTATTATAGTGGACTTGTAGTAGTTCCTGTCTTAGAGCTAAATTATTAGAGATGTAAATCCTGCTGCTCTTTGTTAAAAGATCTTGTTTGTCTATTTTCCACTCTGATTACTGAGATTCTGTCTTGATAAATCTTGCTTGTACAGAAAAATTATCTTTCTGTGCTTCTAGTGGAGCGGGGTACAATGGGATGCCTCATCAAAGTAGGCGAGTTGGTTGATATGGTGAGAGCACAAGAAAGGTGAAAAATCACCACATAGTAAGGGTATGGTTGAGTAGTAAGTGTAGAGATAGATATGTTCTAACAGACACCTAAGCTTGCAAGGAGTAATAGTACTAAAGAGCCCTGTACTAACACAGGCAGCTCTAATGAGAAACAGTAGCACATTTCATGAACAAGAAATCTTCATATTCTCAAACTAATAGCTGAACTGGTAGTAAGGAACAAGTGTATAGAAAAGAGCAATGGTGTGTGAAGGTAATAAGCAAGATGCAGGGGCTACAGGTGGTTTATATAGCTCAAGAATAGTAGCTTTGAGGTGGTTTGCACCTTGGACCAGAACAATCTTTGTTCTAATAAGATACCAGAATCCCCACTACATTTTCTTCTGGTCTTCAATGTTGGCATCCCCTGACAACAAACAACATATAAAATAAAATAAAACCAATTTAGTAAAATAAGAGAATAATAAATAGTAATGAGCAGTCTGGTAAGGAAAAACACAGAAAATAAGAATAAGAAGAGTGATAGCAGCAATCTCTAATAGTGATCATTATGATTCTCTTCTTCCATCAAGTTCTCAGAAGAAGGAGAAGACTGAACTGACACTGGATCAATGTTGTTGTGCACACAATGCCAATAGGATTTATTACCAAAAGCTTTCTTTTCAATTTGGTAAGTCTTGATAATGGCATCCAGAGCAATTTGTGTGGCCTTTAGATGCCAGTTATTAATGAAGTCCTGAGCCTTTTTGTCATCAGAACCAAAGAGAATATTGAGTTTCTCAATTATCATGGGGTTGTCCCACCTAATACATTCTACCAGGGCATCTGATATAGCTCCTAAGCCTTGTAATTGAATAGCAGTAGGGAATTGATATGGAACTGATGTGTAACAATTTGAATGGCCAGATGGAGACAAAGACCCTGGAACTAGATCTCTATATGCAACAGAGAGCTGAAACCATGTACCAGCTTTATTAACTTCTAGATGTTCATGGTTCTCTTGAATTGCCACATACCAGAGTAACATAGTGCATCAGACCTTTTTGCATAGACCATGGGCTCCATAGAGTAGCAGAGAGCTTGTAATTCAGACATTGCCAGATTTGCAAATGATATTGATTCATCTAATACCAAATTTTCTTTTGTCATCTTTGGTATACATTGTATCTTTAATGCAGTGAATATAGCCATCAGTGGATAAGTCTTGTTCTTCAACTAGTCCCCACCAATTCTCTAGGTGGTTATGCATTCCTGACAAGATTTCTATACAGTTGCTGGGCTCTTCTGCAGTTAAGGTCAAGAATTCTTGTATCATGTTAACACCCCTTCCAGTAGTAATAGCATCTGGAACATTGATATTAATATGGTGAAACCCAGTTTTATCCCCTGGCTTAGCATACTTGACATAGTATAGATAGGAGATTAATTTCCAAGCATGGTTGGGTCTTGTCAGTATGTACCATAGATAGTACACAGGGTTCTGGCACATAAGTTGTTGGCTGATACTGTAATATATTATTCTCAACCATCCATAATTGTTGCAACCTCCCATTATTCACTGATGATGGTAGTACATGTTGTATTCATCATTGACCTGGGTGAGTACTGTGGTGGTGGTGTCTTGTAACTTATCATTCCACCAGCATATTAGCTGGGGAATGACAACAGACTCAGTTGTTTCCCATTCCTTCTGAAGATTGCTGGTGGTGAACTTGTTAACTTCAGTTATTCATGTGTATCAGTTGAAGTCAAATATTCTCATGTTTGCAACCAGAGGGATAATTGGCTGATGTTTGAATTTATAAATACCTAAAGCATCTTCAGCTCTAGCTGGTCTATTTGCCAAATGGAACCAGAGATAGGTGCTGTTATTAGTCTTGACTGAGTCAATGTTGCAACAATTCCTATGAATGTAAGCCAAACAGTTGAGAAGCTCCTCTCTATTAAGTGTGTGAGTCTGTAAATCAAGTTTTGAAGCTATTAGTTTAGCATGGTCATAGTATAGATAGATGTCAGCTTTCTTATCACTAAAGGCCTTTCCTAACTGCTTCAGGATGCAAATAAGCTCCAACTCCAAATATGTTTTAGTACTCTTTATCTTTTGGAGAAGCTGCTGTTCAAAACCACAGCAATGACAAGTACCAGAGTGTACTGCCATGACAGATTCTTCTTGTTCATGTCAGGGTATTCCCTCATCACTTTCAGGAGGAATAACAGACTCATCTTTGTTGCCTAGGCCTTGGAGGATTTGGTGTGCTGACATGGCTGCAGTTCTTTCACTGCAGCGCTTCAGAGCTTCTGATTGGCTGGGTGGATTGGCCAGTTTCCAATCCACACAATCTAATCAACATTATACTATGTATAGAGGCTCCTGATACATTGCAGCTATGTGGCATCAACATCCCACCTATTGGAACATCTCTTGATGATCTTGGTGACTGTGGTCCTTCTAGTAGACCTCAGGGGCTGCTTGCAGTGGAAGGACTCCTAGCAATATCCTGAATTGAATGTTGGGAGCTAGATGACTGTGGAAGAGCCAATGGCTGTAGAAGATCATAGTTTCCAATAGTAAGTTCTTGTTGATGTAGAGTATCTCTTGAAGAAAGTTTGCAAGTGCAATCAACTTCTTTGTCAGCTGTAGTATAATTATCTGGCAATATAGCTAAGCTCCAGCAATGTCCAGCTTCTGTAGTATCTAGTCTTTGGAGCACTGTGCTGTTAATATTATTGGCAAACTTATCCCAATTCTTGTAGACATTTAAGATATGGTGAAGCTTTTGTGTGGCCCACAGGCTCTCTACTTTTGACTATATGGCATCAATTCTGTCTATCCCCCATGTAGCAACAAGCCTATTCTTGATCTTTTGCATATTAATGTGATGTTGTTCAACATCCAGGGTAATCTTTCAAGCATCATGAAAATTGGCTTCAAAATTAGCATGCATAACATGTTGCCAAGCTCTGGATCTTTCAACATATCAATAGAAATGGGCCACTAAGTCAGTGACTACATCAGTCACTTGCATAAGTGTGTTCATCAGCTTGACTTGTAGACTATATTGATGGTGTGGAGCTTGGTTATTGATGTATTCCATAGCTGCTGTTAGGTTATTGAAGAAATGGCCATTCAAGTTGACTCCACTGTCTCTGGTAATAACCAGGCCTTGGTTTTCAGTTGCTGGTGCTAAAGGAGGCAGGTTGCTTCATCCAGTCATTTTTGAAGAATATCAGAGATCAAAAAATTTGCAAATGTCAGAATAACAGAATAGAAGAAAATGTTGAATCTGTAAAAAGAATCAAGCTTGAATGTAAAAGAAAGTAAAAGCTCCAGCAAAGAAAAATTGACCTTTAAATATCTCCAGAAAAAGTGAATGCTAAGCAAATAACAAAGAAAGAGAAACTTTCTGAAAGAGCAAGCAAAAACTTCACTTTGCAGGCAAATAAAAGAAACTTTCTGAATAAGCAAGCAAAAAACTTCATCTTTGCAAACAAAACACAACAAATTAAACATCTTGTGAAGGTATAACAACAGCAAAGCTCCAGTCATCTGGTATAACAGTTAGAAATTGTGTTTGCTCCATTTCTTCTTGATCATTTTCATTTTCACTCTGATCCAAGAAGCTAACATCTGAGAAACTGCTAGAGAAAATGTTAGGTCAACTTCTGGTGGCATATCTTTGAGAGATGTTCTCCATCTCTACATCAGAATCTGCTGAGCTATCATTAAATAGCTCCATTTCAGGTTTCATAAGATACTTCTTTAATCTGTTTTCTGCAATAGATTCTTTGAGTTCAGTGCCATCTAACTCTTCAAGATGATAGGCACCTAGTTCTTGATTGGCAGACTTAACTCTATAGAGTTCTAGCCATTGAAAGTGCAGGGTGTTATTCCTAGACATATTCTGTTCTTCTTTGGTATTGTGAAGCAAGACAAGATCTCCAGGTAGAAGAGGATTGGTCTGAATATTATGGGTATTATCAAAGTATTCCTTATTTCTAGCACACATTCAGAGCTGATGATGAGCTGCTTTCAAGACATTCTTATCTCATCTTTTAATTTGCTGTGCTTGCATCAGAAGCAGGTCTTCAGTTGTTTGAATCTTTCATCAGAAAATTGTTTGCCAAGTAGGAATCTTGAGTTTAATCAGAAGAACTGCCTTCTGGTCCATTAGTAATCTATAAGAGAAGACACCAGTACTAGCCTTAGTCATCATTCAATCCACCATCAGAATTGCAGGAAGATGTTTAATCCAATCCCTCCCAGTACCATTGGTAGCTTTAGCTAGTCCATCAGCCAAAGGCTTATGGCCAACTTCCACCATATCATTTGCAGGAGGGTTATAGAGTGAAATAACAATGTATTTAATATTGAATTTCTTCAGTAAGGTCTCCACAACATTCTTATTTTCTGGTCCTCCATTCATAACAAATTTGGCAGGCAGGCCCCATCAACAGATGATATTCTTATAAAGAAATTTAGCCACAGCTTCAGCTGTTGCCTTTTTCAAGACTCTAGCTTCTACTCATCCAGTGAAGTCACATCTGGCAACAACCAAATAATTTCATCCTTGACAGAAAGACATGTGCTTGATATCCATCTCAACTTTCTCCCAACAGATAGAGGCCCAGGTAGGATGAAGCTCTTCACTCAACCTTTGTGAATCTCTTTGTTAACATTGAGAACAGTGCTTCACATAAGCAGACACATCTTTATACATCCCTGACCACTAGTATTGAGCTTGTAGAGCAGAGTATGTTCCCTCTCACTCTTTATGGCCAAATTTGTTATGCATCATGTGTAAAATTTGTTCATGCTGATCTTTATTGTCCACAACATGTCTTAGAGACACACCAGATCCCACTCACCTAAATAGCTGATCAGCCTCCACCACATATTTAATTGCTTTTCTTTGGAATCTCATGTACTCTTTTCCTTCCATGCCCAATGGTTTTGATAGAATGGTTAGGTATTGTGCAATTTTCTCTGATTCTTCTGAATATGTGGAGTCCAGTATCCTAAGGTCTTCACTATCAAGAGCTCAGCCAGCTAAAACTCTTATAGAATCCATAAAGACAAACAGATCTTCATCTTCTTCAGATTCAGGCTGTTCTCCAATATCTAGTCCTCAGCAAGATAGTCCATCAGCAGCTGTGTGTTTTGTCCCAGGAACATGTTTAACAGTAAAGTCAAAGAGGCATATCCAAGCTATCCAGTGGAGCGGGGTATGATGGGATGCCTCATCAAAGTAGGCGAGTTGGTTGATATGGTGAGAGCTCAAGAAAGGTGAAAAATCACCACATAGTAAGGGTATGGTTGAGTAGTAAGTGTAGAGATAGACATGTCCTAACAGATGCCTAAGCTTGCAAGGAGTAATAGTACTAAAGAGCCCTGTACTAACACAGGCAGCTCTAATGAGGAACAGTAGCAAGTTTCATGAACAAGAAATCTTCATATTTGCTAACTAATAACCAAACTGGTAGTAAGGAATGAGTGTATAGAAAAGAGCAATGGTGCATGAAGGTAATAAGCAAGAAGCAGGGGCTACAGATAGTTTATATAGCTTAAGGATAGTAGCTTTGGGGTGGTTTGCGCCTCAGATCAGAACAATCTTTGTCCTAATAAGATACCAGAATCCCCACTACATTTCCTCCTGATCTTTAATATTGGTGTCCCCTGACAACAAACAACATATAAAATAAAATAAAACCAATTTAGTAAAATAAGAGAATAATAAATAGTAATGAGCAGTCTGGTAAGGAAAAACATAGGAAATAAGAATAAGGAGAGTGATAGCAGCAATCTCTAATAGTGATCACCATGATCCTCTTCTTCCACCAAGTTCTTGGGAGGAGGAGAAGGCTGAACTGATGCTGGGTCAATATTGTTGTGCACACAATGCCAATAGAATTTATTACCAAAAGCTTTCTTTTCAATTTGGTAAGTCTTGACAATGGCATCCAGAGCAATTCACGTGGTCTTTAGGCACCAGTTATTAATGAAGTCCTGACTCTTTTTGTCATCAGGGCCAAAGAGAATATCAAGTTCCTCAATTACCAAGGGGTTGTCCCATCTAATTCATCCTACCAGGGCATCTGATATAGCTCCTAAGCCCTGTAATTGAATAGCGGTAGGGAATCAATATGGAACTGATGTGTAACAATTTGAATGGCTGGATGGAGACAAAGGCCCTGGAACTAGATCTCTATATGCAGCAGAGAGCTGGGACCATGTACCAGCTTCATTAACTTCTAGATGTTCATGGTCCTCTTGGATTGCCACATACCAGGGTAGCATAGTGTGTTGGACTTTTTTGCATGGACCATGGGCTCCATGGGGTAGCAGAGGGCTTGTAATTCAGATATCACCAGGCTTGCAAATGATGTCAGTCCACCTAATACCAAATTTTCTTTTATTGTCTTTGGTATATATTGTATCTTTAATGCAGTGAATATAGCCATTAGTGAATAAGCCTCATTCTTCAACTAATCCCCATCAATTCTCTAGATGGTTATGCATTTCTGGCAAGATTTCTGTACAGTCACCAGGCTCTTCTGTAGTTAAGATCAAGGATTCTTGTATCATGTTAATGCCCCTTCCAGTAGTAATAGCATCTGGAACATTGATATTAATATGACAAAACCCAGTTTTATCCCCTGGCTTAGCATACTTGGCATAGTATGGATAGGAGATTAATTTCCAAGTATGGTTGGGTCTTGTCAGTACATACCATAGGTAGTACACAGAGTCCTGGCACATAAGTTGTTGGCTGATACTGTGATACATTGTTCTCAACCATTCATAATTGTCGCAATCTCTCATCATTTACTGATGATGGTAGTACATGTCATATTCACTGTTGACCTGGGTGAGTACTGTGGTAGTGGCACCTTGTAATTTATTGTTCCACCAGCACATTAGCTGGGGAATGACAACAGACCCAGTTGTTTCCCATTCCTTCTGAAGATCACTGGTAGTGAACTTGTTAACTCCAGTTATTCATGTGTATCAGTTGAAGTCAAATGTTCTCATGTTTGCAACCAGAGAGATAATTAGCTGATGTTTGAATTTGTAAATGCCTAAAGCATCTTCAGCTCTAGCTGGTCTATTTATCAAACAGAACCAGAGATAGGTGCTGTCATCAGTCTTGACTGAGTCAATGTTGCAACAATTCCTATGAATGTAAGCCAAACAGTTGAGAAGCTTCTCCCTATTAAGTGTGCAAGTCTGTAAACCAAGTTTTGAAGCCATTAGTTTAGCATGGTCATAGTATAGATAGATGTCAGCTTTCTTATCACTAAAGGCCTTTCCTAACTGCTTCAGGATGCAAATAAGCTCCAACTCCAAACACATTTTAGTACTCTTTATCTTTTGGAGAAGCTGCTGTTCAAAACCACAGCAACAACAAGTACCAGAGCATACTGCCATGACAGATTCTTCTCATTCATGTCAGAGTATTTCCTCATCACTTTCAGGAGAAATAATGGATTCATCTTCATCACCTAGGCCTTGGAGGGTTTGGTGTGCTGACATGGCTGTGATTCTTTCACTGCAGCACTTCAGAGCTTCTGATTGGCTGGGTGGATTGGCCAGCGCGCTGGTGAATCCAAATGGCAGCTGTGATTGGCCAGTTTCCAATCCATGTGATCTAATTGACATTGTACTATATATAGAGGCTCCTGATACATTGTAGCTATGCAGCATCAACATCCCATCCATTGGAACATCTCTTGATGATCTTGGTGACTGTGGTCCTTCTAGTAGACCTCAGGGGCTGCTTGCAGTGGGAGGGCTTCTAGTGATATCCTGAATTGAACATTGGGAGCTAGATGACTGTGGAAGAGCCAACAGCTGTAGAAGATCATAGTTTCCAATAGTAAGTTCTCATCAGCATAAGACATCTCTTGAAGAAAGTTCACAAGCACAATTGATTTCTTTATCAGCTGTAGTATAATCACCTGGCAATATAGCTAAGCTCCAGCAATGTCCAGCTCCTGTAGCATCTAGTCTTTGGAGCACTGCACTGTTAATATTGTTGGTGAACTTATCCCAATTCTTGTAGATATTTAGGATATGGCAAAGCTTTTGTGTGGCCCACAGGCTCTCCACTTTTGACCATATAGCATCAATCCTGTCTATCCCCCATGTAGCAACAAGCCTATTCTTGATCTTTTGCATATCAATGTGATGTTGTTTAACATCCAGGGTAACCTTTCAAGCATCATGGAAATCAGCTTCAAAATTGGCGTGTGTAACATGTTGCCAAGCTCTAGATCTTTCAACATATCAATAGAAATGGGCCACTAAGTCAGTGACCACATCAGTCACTCACATAAGTGTGTTCATTAGCTCAACTTGCAGACTATAGTGGTGGTGTGGAGCTTGGTTATCAATGTATTCCATAGCTGCTGTTAGGTTATTGAAGAAATGGCCATCCAAGTTGACCCCACTGTCTCTGGTAACAACCAGGCCTTGGTTTTCAGTTGCTGGTGCTAAAGGAGGCAGGTTGCTTCACCCAGCCATTTTTGAAGAATATCAGAGATCAAAAAAAATTTGCAAATATCAGAATAACAGAATAGAAGGAAATGTTGAATCTGTAAAAAGAATCAAGCTTGAATGTAAAAGAAAGTAAAAGCTCCAGCAAAGAAAAATTGATCTTTAAATATCTCCAGAAAAAGTGAATGCTAAGCAAATAACAAAGAAAAAGAAACTTCCTAAAAGAGCAAGCAAAAACTTCACTTTGCAGGCAAATAAAAGAAACTTTCTGAATAAGCAAGCAAAAACTTCACTTTTGCAAACAAAACACAACAAATTAAACATCTTGTGAAGGTATAACAACAGCAAAGCTCCAGTCATCTGATATAACAGTTGGAAATTGCATTTGCTCCATTTCTTCTTGATCATTTTCATTTTCACTCTGATCCAAGAAGCTAACATTCAAGGAACTGCTAGAGGGAATGTTAGGTCAACTTCTGGTGGCATATCTTTGAGAGATATTCCCCATCTCTACATCAGAATCTGCTGAGCTATTATTGAATGGCTCCATTCCAGGTTTCATAAGGTACTTCTTCAATCTGTTTCCTGCAATAGATTCTTTGAGTTCAGTGCTGTCTAATTCTTCAAGATGATAGGAACCTAGTTCTTGATTGGCAGACTTAACCCTATAGGGTCCTAGCCATCAAAAGCACAGGGTGTTATTCCTAGACATATTCTGTTCTCCTTTGATATTGTGAAGCAAGACAAGATCTCCAGGTAGAAGAGGGTTGGTCCAAATATTATGGGTATCATCAAAGTATTTCTTATTTCTAGCACACATTCAGAGCTGATGATGAGCTGCTTCCAGGACATCCTCATCTCATCTTTCAATTTGCCATGCTTGCATCAGAAGCAGGTCTTCAGTTGTTCAAACCTTTTTTCAGGGAATCATTTGCTAAGTAGGAATCTTGAGTTCAATCAGAAGAACTGCCTCCTGGCCCATTAGCAATCTATAAGGGGAGACACCAGTACTAGCCTTAGTCATCATTTGATCCATCATCAGAATTGCAGGAAGATGTTTAATCCAATCCCTCCCAGTGCCATTGGTAGCTTTAGCTAGCTCATCAGCCAAAGACTTATGGCCAACTTCCACCATACCATTTGCAGGAGGATTATAGAGCAAAATAACAATACATTTAATGTTGAATTTCTTCAGTAAGATTTCCACAACATTCTTATTTTCTGGTCCTCCATTCATAACAAATTTGGCAGGCAGGCCCCATCAACAGATGATATTCTCATAAAGAAATTTGGCCACAGCTTCAGCTGTTGTCTTTTTCAAGACTCTAGCTTCCACCCATCCAGTGAAGTCACATCTGGCAACAACCAAATAATTTTGTCCTCAACAGGAAGGCATGTGCTTGATATTCACCCCAACTTTCTCCCAACAGGTAGGGGCCCAGGTAGGATGAAGCTCTTCACTCAATCTTTGCAAATCTCTTTGTTGACATTGAGAACAGTGCTTCACATAAGCAGACACATCTTTATACATTCCTGACCACTAGTATCAAGCTTGTAGGACAGAGTATGTTCCCTCTCACTCTTTATAGTTAAATTCATCATGCATCATGTGTAAAATTTGTTTGCACTGATCTTTGTTGTCCACAACACATCTTAGAGACACACCAGATCCCACTCACCTAAATAGTTGATCAGCCTCCACCACATATTTAATTGCTTTTTTTCAGAATCTTGCATACTCTTTTCCTTCCATGCCCAATGATTTTGATAGGGTGGTTAGGTATCATGCAATTTTCTCCAATTCTTCTGAATATGTGGAGTCCAGTATCCTAAGGTCTTCACTATCAAGAGCTCAGCCAGCTAAAACTCTTATAGAATCCATAAAGGCAAACAGATCTTCATCTTCTTCAGATTCAGACTGTTCCCCAATATCTAGTTCTCAGCAAGATAGTCTGTCAGCAGCTGTGTGTTTTGTCCCAGGAACATATTTAACAGTAAAGTTGAAGAGGTGTATCCAAGCTATCCAATTAGTAACCAAAGCTTCTGGAACATCTGTAGCAGTCCTATTAAGTTGGGTGACAAGAGTTTTTGCATCAATTTCCAAGGTAAAGGGCACTCTATAGATATGGTGTCAGAATTTCTTGAAGACTTTCAAAACAGCTCTGCATTCTCATTTGCCAGCATCATATGTTTTCTCTGAATCACTCCATACTCCAGATTTGTATTGTGTGGGATGTTGAGCTCCTCATTGCTCCTGAATAATGCATTCTCCCCATCCTAATCCACTGGCATCAACAGCCACAGTGATAAGCAAAGGATCCTGTTCATAATTGATTGGAAGAATGATAGGAAATGAACATAACTTTTCTTTCAAAAGCATAAAGACATCATTTTGCTCTTCAGTCCATGTCCATGTAACATTTTGTCAAAGCAGATAATGTAAAGATTCAGTTATCCAACTATAATACTCTATGAGTATTCAGAAATATCCAGCAAGCCCTAGGAATCCTCATAATTCTGTAATGCTTGTAGGAGTAGGCCAATTCACAATTTTAGCCACCTTGGCTTCCTCAGGTCATCATTCATCATAGTCACAGACCCATCCAACAACATTGACTCCAGACATGCAGAATTGAGATTTGGTGCCGGAGATCCTGGCCCCAGAGATTTTGACAAGCCATAGAATGTAGTCCAGATTCTGCAGATGGTCATAAACAAATCTTCTTATTCTTGAGAGGACTTCAGTTTCATTTTTGACACACAATTCTTTTACCCCAAGATCATCCATAAAGGCTCAAGCAATCTCTGGAAAAACCTCACATATTATCTTCATTATCCCACATTGGGCTTGAGCTGGCAAATTCATTGCCCCTTAAACTAAAGTCATATGGTGAAAGAGCCCAATAGAGGTTGCAATGGCTGTCATATCTCTGCTTTCTTCAGCTAACAGAAAATTATCATATCCAGAGAATAAGTTGCATAGGCTAGCCATAACAAGTCCACTGAAGTCTTCAGTGTATTCATCAACATTAGAAGAAATAAAAGCATCCCAAATAGTAACTTTGTTATACATATGTGCTGTATCAACTAAATGATATTCACCTTTCTGTTTCTTTGCAACCAGAAAATAGGGATTGGTATATGAACCATGGCAAGGCTCCAATATTTTAGCTTCTAACCTGTCCTGAATGATTTTAATTAGCTTATCATGTAGAGCACAAGAAATTCAGTAAGTCTTAGTCTGCCAAGTCTCATGGGGCTCTGTCTAAATAACCTGGGGAGGCAAGCATTCAGAATGAACACCACATAGATCTTTGAATGACCAAGCCAACACCCCTTCACATTTATAGAGAACTGATATGAAAAATTTCTTCTCCTGACTTGTCAGTTCAAATCCAATTTTGAGCTTCTCAATTCTCTCATTTGTTAGTCATTCTCCAACAGGAAAGGGCACAATCCTAGGCCTAATATAGTTATCAAATTCACAATTAAATGTGATGTGTTTCTCCTCAGAGTAATACTTATCCAAACAAACATCCACCCAATTATCTAGGCCTTCCAGCTTGCTTCCATCAGATTTTCCAGGTGCTAATGGCCTTATCTTATCAGCTTTCCACTTATAAGCAGTGCACACTCTTCAGACCTCTGAAGAAGACAGCCCAATGTCCCATCCACTATTGAAAATGTCTATCTGACATGATTTCTTTGTGACAAAATCATGATTTTTGTTCAGAGATGTGTAAATTGATTGAGCACTTCATGAAATAGGTTTGTGAATTAAACTGGAATTTATATTGTGTGTGTAATGTTTGCAGTGAGCTGTAACACTGTCTGGATCAGGAAGTGGAGGTCAGAAAATCTGAACTTCCAATGCAAAATTATCCTTGTCTTCTGATTGGTCCATTTGATTCACCAGTGTGCTGGTCAATTCAATTAGGCTTAGTGTGCTTTTGGATTCACCAACACTGGAATTATGTTTCTCCTCATCACCATAAGCACCAATGCTGGCAATGCTGCCAATGCTCCTGACTTCCCTATTCTTTTCAATCTCCTGATCTTCAACCTTCTCATCATTAATTCTTATACCCATCATCTTCATCACATCTTCTTCATCCTCCTCAGGTCTTGTATCCATGGGCACCCACCTGATTAAATGCCTGTTGAATCATTTAAATGATTGCTGTTCAATTTATCAGTCACATATCTTATGTTGCTCAAGTTTAGCTTAAAGCCTTCAAAAACTAGATGATGTGTTTGTTCTTTGTTATAAATTTCACAGTTCACTCCACCATCTTCTGAGGTGTTGCACCCCCAACAGGCAGCAAATTGCCAAGGTCTTCCAAGAATAAGTTGCTGATCCCCTCCCTCAAATATAAGAAAAGGGGTATGTATAACAATATCTCCAATTTGAACAGGCACTTTGTCACAAAACACATAAAAAGAAGCAACTTCTCCCATTTGAACAACCATGGTCACTCATGGCTTATTTTTCATTGGCAATTTCAACATTTCAGCATACTTTCAAGACAACAAATTGATTTCTGAACCAGTATCAATCAACACCATTAATTCTTGTTGGTTTATAGTGACTGGTGCATATAACAAACACATTCCATATGCTGTTTTGGATTTTGGCACCATGAGCTTTGAAGTAAGTCAACCAGAATTGATCTTTAGCTCAGGCTGAACTGGTTCAGAGACTCCAACCCTTGCATGGCTTTTGCTAGTACTGTTATTCCAGCCTGATCTGAAGAACACTCAATGAAGCTTTGATGATACATCTATAAGCTTCTTGACTGACAATTCAACCTTTCCATTGAGAATTCAACCCATTAATTCATTGGCATCTGTTGAATCACAGATCTGAGAGGATAAGCAATCTGTTGCAGAATATCTTGGTCTTTGTTTCTCCACAGACTTGTTCTGAATTTCAGGCTTCTTCTGATTGATTGGTTCAATGTCTTTCATGACATCATCATCAACACTAGTCTGATTATCTCAGTAAGTAATAAATTGTCCAGTATGCTGAGTATGGAGCATTGCAATCTTAGCTTTTTGATTGTTCTTAGCTTCTCCAACTGTTCCAACATTGACTGATGTCCTTTCTTCCAATGGTTCATATTTCTTATCTGAATCAGATTCTCCATCAGACATTAGGTATGCAAGTCATCCTGCTTGGACCTTCACACTGGTTGAATTTGTGGGAGGTGTCTCTTCTTGCTGATTGGCCTTCTTTTTAGGGCTTGTCAACTCTGGAATCACCCATTCATTCTCTCCCATAGACCATACAATATACATGTTTGGGATTCCAGGTTTAGGAGTGACAGCTCAATAGTTTTGACCCTTAGAGCCCATGCATAAGTTCCCTTTGTCATCAATATGGCAGTATCCATTACTCATATCAGATTGGTATTCATAACACTGAGATTGATGATGTCCAGGTTTTCCACAGTAGAAGCATGAGGGATATGTCAAAATTCCTCCAGTTCAAGCTCCTCCTCATCCATGAGCACTACTATAGCCTGTCATAGGAGAGCCATTTCAAGCTAAATAGGGGTTGACTGACAGTTGAGTATTCTCTTGTACAGTTGTAGAATTAACAGTCACATTTGTTGGATAATGTGGTATAGATTTCAGAGGTCCTTCTCTCTGCAGCATATAATACTGATCAGAATTCCCTTGTATCTGATTTGATTGTACTCTCATGGCCAATGCCAAATTTGTGAACTCATTGGTCATCTTTTCAATAGCAGCTTCAATATTGATGCTGTCAGAGCCCTTGGCTTTGGCTTTCAATTCAGATTCTTCAGTCTTCACAAAACTAGCTGTTTTCTTTGGAGCTTCAACTGTAGGGGGCTTGTTAGCCAATTGATATCACTCACCAAGCTTCTCCATTTTCTTTTGTTTCATTTCATCTTCTTTAAAGACCTTCTTATTCCCTTCATACTGGTTGATCAAATCCATGGTCACCCGAACAACTTTCCTAAAATCAATAGGCAACATATCATCTGAAAGATTGAGCTTGGTCTTGTCAATAATCTTATTCCAGAGCTTCTCAGATAGCCCCTGAAGGAACCAAGACACCTTAGTGAATTCATCAAGCCTTCCATTTGCTTGAACTGTACTGGCAATAGTAGTGTATTCTCAAACATAGGTGTGAATGTTGCCATCCCAAGCATGTGGTTTCTTTGTAATTGCCCAGAGATAATCCCAACAGTGAATCTTGTAAGTAATGTCTTGATCACAAAATTCATGAATAATCTCTTTGGAGAATACTTCCTAATTACCTTCTTTGTAGCCTTCTAAGGTCTTCATCCATTCTCCAATCCATGTAACACAGTACCTAGCCAACCATTCAATAATGTTTTTAGGGTCAATTACCCCATGATCCTTGCACATCTGATAAAACCTTTCAATAAACAGGGTAGCATCTCTACTGTCAAACCAAGGTGCATTTGCCATGCCAGGGGAAGACATAGGAATGTGGGAATGAACCACAATTCTCTTGTCCTCACCCTGTGACATAGTTGCATATGATCCTGTAGTACCTTCAGCCATAGTTGATTCTGATTCCAATTTCTTGGTTTCTTGATCTTTGGTCATGTCACACAGTATGTTCTGTCTATTAGTCAATATCTTCCAAAAACCTGTTTATCGGGCAAGCTCTAGATAAGAGGCATTCAAATCTAAGCTCCCTAATCTTATTCCTAAATAAAAAACCTGATTAGTACTGTGTTCCTAGTCCATAAGATCTTATCTTGAAATAGTGTATTGCTTTATGTGTCTCAGAATTTGTTTTTCTCTTCCTTGACAGTCACCAAATCACCGCATCATCATCTTCAGGTCTCAGCTTGGTCACCAAATGGAGCAGGGTACAATGGGATGCCTCATCAAAGTAGGCAAGTTGGTTGATATGGTGAGAGCTCAAGAAAGATGAAAAATCACCACATAGTAAGGGTATGGTTGAGTAGTAAGTGTAGAGATAGACATGTCCTAACAGACACCTAAGCTTGCAAGAAGTAATAGTACTAAAGAGCCCTGTACTAACACAGGCAGCTCTAATGAGGAACAGTAGCAAGTTTCATGAACAAGAAATCTTCATATTTGCTAACTAATAACCAAACTGGTAGTAAGGAATGAGTGTATAGAAAAGAGCAATGGTGCGTGAAGGTAATAAGCAAGAAGCAGGGGCTACAGGTGGTTTATATAGCTCAAGAATAGTAGCTTTGGGGTGGTTTGCGCCTCAGACCGGAACAATCTTTGTCCTAATGAGGTACCGGAATCCCCACTACATTTGTTGGTAACCAAATCTTCTGGAACATCTGTAGCAGTCCTATTAAGTTAGGTGACAAGAGTTTTTGCATCAATTTCCAAGGTAAAGGGCACTCTATAGGTATGGTGTCAGGGTTTCTTGAGGGCTTTCAAAACAGCTCTGCATTCTTATTTGCCAGCATCATATGTTTTCTCTGAATCACTTCATACTCCAGATTTATATCATGCAGGATGTCAAGCTCCTCATTGCTCCTGAATAATGCATCCTCCCCATTCTAATCCACTGGCATCAACAGCCACAGTGATAAGCAAAGAATCCTGTTCATAATTAATTGGAAGAATGATAGAGAATGAACATAACTTTTCTTTCAAAAGCATAAAGACATCATTTTGCTCTTCAGTCCATGTCCATGTAACATTTCATCAAAGCAGATAATGTAAAGGTTTGGTTATCCAACTATAATGCTCTATAAGTATTCAGAAATATCCAGCAAGCCCTAGGAATTCTTGTAATTCTGTAACACTTGTAGAAGTAGGCCAATTCACAATTTTAGCCACCTTGACTTCCTCAGATCATCATCTGTCATAATTGCAGACCCATCCAACAACATTGACTCCAGACATGCAGAATTGAGATTTGGTGCCAGAGATCCTGGCTCCAGAGATTTTGACAAACTATAGAATGTAGTTCAGGTTCTGCAGATGGTTATAAATAAATCTTCTTATTCCTGAAAGAACTTCAGTTTCATCTTTGATACACAATTCTTTTACTCCAAGATCATCCATAAAGGCTCAAGCAATCTCTGGAAAAATCTTGTGTATTATCTTTATTATCCCACATTGGGCTTGAGCTGGCAAATTTGTTGCCCCTTGAACTAAAGTTATATGGCAAAAGAGTCCAATAGAGATTGCAATGGCTGTTATATCTCTGCTTTCTTCAGCTAACAGAAAATTATTGTATCCAGAGAATAAGTTGCATAGGCTAGCCATAACAAGTCCACTGAAGTCTTCAGCATATTTGTTAATATTAGAAGAAATAAAAGTGTTCTGAATAGTAACTTTGTTGTACATATGTGCTGCATCAACTAAATAATATTTGTCTTTCTGTTTCTTTACAACCAGAAAATAGGGATTGGTATATAAATCATGGCAAGGCTCTAATATTTTAGCTTCTAACCTGTCCTGAATGATTTTAATTAGCTTATCATGTAAAGCATGAGGAATTTGGTAAGTCTTAGTCTGCCAAGCCTCATGAAGCTCTGTTCAAATAATCTGGAGAGGCAAGCATTCAGGATGAATGTCATATAGATTTTTGAATGACCAAGCCAACACCTCTTCATATTTATAAAGAACTGATATGAAAAATTCTTTCTCCTGACTTGTCAGTTTGAATCCAATTTTGAGCTTCTTAATTCTCTCATTTGTTAGCTGTTCTCCAACAGGAAAGAGTGTAATCCTAGACCTAATATAATCATCAAATTTACAATTAAATGTGATGTGTTTCTCCTCAGAGTAATACTTATTCAAACAAACATCCACTCAATTATCTAGGCCTTCCAGCTTGCTTCCATCAGATTTTCCAGATGCTAATAGCTTTATCTTATTAGCTTTCTGCTTATAAGCAGTGCACACTCTCCAGATCTCTGAAGAAGACAGCTCAATGTCCCATCCACAATTAAAAATATCTATCTGACACAATTTCTTTGTGACAAAATCATAATTTTTGTTCAGAGATGTGTAAATTAATTGAGTACTTTGTGAAATAGGTTTGTGAATTAAACTGGAATTTATATCACATGTGTAATGTTTGCAGTGAGCTGTGACACTGTCTGGATTAGAAAGCAGAGGTTGGAAAATCCAAACTTCTGATGCAAAATTATTCTTGTCTTCTGATTGGTTCATTTGATTCACCAGTGCACTGGTTAATCTGATTAGACTTAGCACACTTTTGGATTCACCAATGCTGGAATTATATTTCTCCTCATCACTGTAAGCACCAACACCAGCAATGCTGCCAACACTCCCAACTTCTCTATTCTTTTCAATCTCCTGACCTTCAACCTTCTCATTATTAATTCTTATACCCATTGTCTTCATCATATCTTCTTCATCCTCCTCAGGCCTTGTATCCACAGGCACCCATCTGATTAAATGCCCATTGAATCATTTAAATGATTGCTGTTTGATTTATCAGTCACATATCTCATGTTGCTCAAGTTTGACTTAAAGTCTTCAAAAACTAGGCAACACATTTATTCTTTGTTATAAATTTCACAGTTCACTCTGCTGTCTTCTGAGGTGTTGCACCTCCAACAGGCAGCAAATTACCAAGATCTTCCAAGAATAAGTTGCTGATCCCCTCCCTCAAATATAAGAAAAGGGGTATGTGTAACAATATCTCCAATTTGAACAGGCACTTCATCACAAAACATATAAAAAGGAGCAACTTCTCCTGTTTGAACAACCATGGTCACTCACAGCTTATTTTCCATTGGCAATTTCAACATTTCAGCATACTTCCAAGACAACAAATTAATTTCTGAACCAGTATTGATCAACACCATTAATTCTTGTTGGTTTATAGTGACTGGCGCATATAACAAACACATTCCATATGCTGTTTTGGATTTTGGCACCATGGGCTTTGAAGTAAGTTGACTGGAATTGATCTTTAGCTCAGGCTGAACTGGTTCAGAGACTCCAACCCTTGCATGGCTTTTGCTAGTACTGTTATTCCAGCCTGATCCAAAGAACACTCAATAAAGCTTTGGTGATACATCTATAAGCTCCTTGACTAACAATTTGACTTTTCCATTGAGAATTTGACCCATTAATTCATTGGCATCTGTTGAATCACAGATCTGAGAGGATAAGTGATCTGTTGCAGAATATCTTGATCTTTGTTTCTCTGCAGACTTGTTCTGAATTTCAGGCTTCTTCTGATTGATCAGTTCAATGTCTTTCATGACATTATCATCAACACTAGCCTGATTATCCTGGTAAGTAATAAATTATCCAGTACACTGAGTATGGGGCATTGCAATCTTAGCTTTTTGATTATTCTTAGCTTCTCCAACTGTTCCAACATTAACTGATGTCCTTTCTTCCAATGGTTCATATTTCTTATCTGAATCAGATTCTCCATCAGACATTAGATATGCAAGCTGTCCTGCTTGGACCTTCACACTGATTGAATTTGCAGGAGGTGTCTCTTCTTGCTAATTAATCTCCTTTTTAGAGCTTGTCAACTCCAGAATCACTCATTCATCCTCTTCCATAGACTGCACAATATACATGTTCAGGATTCCAGATTTAGAAGTGACAGCTTGATAGTTTTGATCCTTAGAGCCCATGCATAAGTTCCCTTCATCATCAATATGGCAGTATTCATTACTCATATCAGATTGGTATTCATAACACTGAGATTGACAATGTCCAGGTTTTCCACAGTAGAAGCATGAGAGATATGTCAAAATTCCTCCAGTTCAAGCTTCTTCTCATCCACAAGCACTACTATAGCCTGTCATAGAAGAGCCATTTCAAGCCAAATAGGGGTTGACTGGCAGTTGAGTATTCTCTTGTACAGTTGTAGAATTAACAGTCACATTTGTTGGATAATTTGGTATAGGTTTCAGAGGTCCTTCTCTCTGCAGCATATAATACTGATCAGAATTTCCTTGTATCTGATTTGATTGTACTCTCATGGCCAATGCCAAATTTGTGAACTCATTGGTCATCTTTTCAATAGCAGCTTCAATATTGGTGCTGTCAGAGCTCTTGGCTTTGGCTTTCAATTCAGATTCTTCAGTCTTTGCAAAACTAGCTGTTTTCTTTGGAGCTTTAACTGTAGGAGGCTTGTTAGCCAATTGATATTGCTCACCAAGCTTCTCCATTTTCTTTTGTTTCATTTCATCTTCTTCAAAGACCTTCTTATTCCCTTCATACTGGTTGATCAAATCCATAGTCACCCAAACAACTTTCCTAAAATCAATAGGTAACATATTGTCTGAAAGATTGAGCTTGGCCTTGTCAATAACCTTATTCCAGAGCTTCTCAGGTAGCCCCTGAAGGAACCAAGATATCTTAGTGAATTCATCAAGCTGTTACAAACATAGACCTAGACCAACCAAGTATCAGACAACATCAGATGTTCAGGGGTATTCACATGACCCCAACACTGAACATATAAGAATCACACAATTCACATGGATCATGGAAATCCCAGCATTCAGTCTCCAAGTGAGGGGACCCCTTACATTTTATGCATGACTCTCTCCCATCAGTTGTGGGCATCATACCTACTTAGCTCTTTCATATCCCTAATCCTGGGAAAACCTACATGATCTACAACCAGTTCCCCTAACATTCTGAACACTCCAACATACAATTGCCTAAGTCAGTACAATGTCACCAAGACCCACAAGACAAACCACAACAACACCCCATATTACAGACCCAACAGAGGTAGACACCAACATGGAGAAGATGAACATTGATGAAGGTGCTGGTAGCAGTAAAGCCACCACCAGCAAGACACCAGCAGATGATACAGGCAACAGAGATACACCTCTCAATATATTGGACAAAACCCAAAGAGAGGAGACCTTTAAAGAAAAGAAGACATGTCTGCAAAAGAATCTAGCAGACATATGTGAACAAAACAAGATACACAGACTGCAGAAGCAGATAGAATACAAATGAGAATAGCAAATAATGATTTTCCTTTAGAGTTCCTCTTACACACAAGACCAATAGAGAAGTCAGACAATTTCAACAATATGAAGCCACCAAAAGCACCTTACTACCATGGCAAATCACTTGACAAGTGCAAATTGTGGTTAGCTTTAATAAGACAGCAGTTTCACCTGAGGAAATTATTATGAAAGACACCAGATGTGGTCAGAATTGATTGGGCATCCAGTCATTTTTGTGACAAACTCCAGATGCATTGGCAGATGTTGGGAATAGAGAAAGAACAACTACCCACATTATAAAACAAATTCAAGATGTGGTGTAAGAACAACATTGAATCCAAGATAACTTATAGTCAAGACACAATGCAGCATTATCATGACACCATTCAACAAGAGAACCAACTCATACCCTCATTTTTCACATACATTGCCAAACTCAAACAGGACCTGGACAGTTTACCAGATGAATTCTTTCATGTACCCTTTTTATAGATAAAGCTCAGACCAATCATTCAGACTGAACTGAATAAACTGCAACATCAATCAAAAACAGTTGCAGAATTATAAGAACAAGCAACACTCATTAAGTCCATTCTAGAAAAGAAGAAGCAAAGTCAGTGGGACAAGAACCAAAATAAGAAGAAACAGAAAATCTCAATCTCTCAAGAGAAAGATGCATCTTAACAAGACAACAAAGAAGATTATCCACAAACAAAGAAGACACCAGTAAAACCACTTCCCAAAATATCAGAAGAGGAACACAAACAACAAATAGATGAAGAGCTCTGTCTAAGATGTGGCCAACCAGGCCATAAAACAAAGTTCTGTACAAACAGCTCCAACAAGTCCCAGCAGACAGACAAAAAGAACAAGAATCAGGCAAAGACTAGAACTGCAAAGCCCATGCAAGACCCAGGTCAAACATTAGAAAGACAGGGTGTTAATCCAATAAAGAAGGCAAGCAGGTGCAGTATGTGCCTGTCAGCCACACTGACTACACTGTCAGATAGTCTTACAGAGCAAGCTGCACTGTTGGACTCAGGTACCACAGTGAACAGTATCTCCTACAAACTGGCATCCCAATTGGACTGGGATCAACCAGAGACACCCATGGAAGTCATTGAGATGTTGAACAGAGCTGAGGCTGATTGGTACAGCATCTACAAGACCCAACTCACTATAACAGACTCCATGGGGACCATAAAGATGAAAAAATGTATGTTTGCAGTGATCAACATGGTCAACATGAACATAGTCCTAGGCATGCCATGGTTAGAAGATTTCAACCTGGACATAGACTGGAAGAACAAGATGTGGTGTTACTGATTCTCAGAGGAAATAGTGGAACTCCTGAATACAGATAGATTTCTCTGAGTGGTATGTATCAAGAACAAACCCTCTTATATTATTTTTGTGTCAGACAACAACCAAGTCCTGACAGAAGTGCCTGAGTGGTTGAGGAACTATAAAGATATTTTCTCAGAAGAAAAAGCAGCAGAGTTGCTGGAATTAACAAAGATCAGTCATCTGATTATCATTAAAAACAGCCACAAGCCCCCATACATGCTAATCTATAGACTATTGCCCAAGCAGACAGAGGTTCTACAAGAGTACATCAAGAACAAGTTATGCAAGGGTTGAATACATCTGTCACAAAGTCCAGCAGGGGCTCTAGTGTTGTTTGCACCCAAAGCTGATGGAGGACTCAGGCTCTGTATTGATTATTGTAGTCTTAACACAATTACAGTGAAGAACTGTTACCCCTTGCCATTGATAGATAAGATATTAAGCTGGTTGGCAGGAGCATGCTACTTTTCCAAGATAAATCTATATAATGCCTACCACCAGATTAGAATCAAAGAAGGAGATGAATGGAAGACCACATTTCATACAAAGTTTGGGAGTTTTGAGTACCTTGTCATGTCTTTCAGGTTGTCAAACACACCAGCAACCTTCCAGTCCTATATCAATAGGGTGCTGGCAGGCCTGGTTGACATATGCTGTGTAGTTTACCTAGATGATATTCTTATTTTCTCAGCCTCAGAGAAAGAGCATGAGAAACATGTTAGACTAGTTATGGAGTATCTAAGAGAATACCAGTTGTTTGCAAAGCTTGCTAAGTGTGCTTTCAAAAGGCAAACAATCTCATATCTTGGATATATCATTGATAATGAAGGTATTAAAATGGACCCAAAGCAGATACAGGTGATCACAGAGTGGCTCTTGCTACAAAGTTTCCATAATATCCAGATATTCCTGGGTTTTGCAAACTTCTATCAGAGATTCATACAAAAGTACTCAGTTATTGTGGCACTGTTGACAGATCTCTTGAAGAGCAGTGAAAAGAGAAGAAAGAAAGAACCTTTTCTTCTGACACCCACTACCAGAAAAGTGTTTTGTGAGTTGCAGGCAGTCTTCTTCAGAGAGCCTGTCATCCAGCACTATAATCCAGAATGTAGAATACATCTGGAGACAGACACTTCAGAACATGCTGCAGGTATGATATTGCTACAGCTGTTCAAAAATAAGTAGCATCCAGTTGTCTACTAGTCATTCAAGTTTGACCAGACCCAACAAGCCTATGACACACTGAATAAGAAGATGTTGGCCATCATCCAAGCATTTGTTCACTGGCAGCAGTACTTAGAAGGAATAAAGTACTCTGTAGAGATTATTATGGACCATGCAAATCTTCATTCATTTATGAAGTCCATGAACAAGATAGCACAATAATGATATATAAGATGGATAGAGGTTCTCAGAGCATATGACTTTAAGATTCTCTACTGTCCTGGGAAGCATAACTCAGCCAACACATTATCATGAAGACCAGATTATATCAAACTAGAAGAAGACATTGGTCTGCTGACATATACACTCAAACAATATTACACAGATGATGTTCCAGAGTGAAACTCATTTGAAGAAACTTTCTTTAATGAAGAAGGTATCCAAGTATGTGCTGCTCACACTGTTCAAAGCAGTGGGGTAGAGATGGTGCAGGGGAGACCTGGTGGCACCAAGATAATTGAGTCAGTCCAGAGAGCACCAGCCAAAGATGCTGGGGAGGCTCAACAAAGGAATTGCAGAAGATCCTGGATTCTCTGTGTGTGTGTGAACATGGTGACAAAAAATGAAAAGACCTATAATAAACTAACTGTAAGTGTGTTGAATCTGCTGCTAGAAGCACAGGGAGATGATTCCTCTGTACAAGCAAGATTCACTAAGACAGAATCTCAGCAGTCAGAGTAGAAAATAGACAAACAAGATCTTTTAACAAAGAGCAGCAGAATCTACATCCCTAACAATCCAGCTCTAAGACAGGAACTACTACAAGTCCACCATAATGACCCATTCACAGGTCACTTTGATGTGGTGAAGATGTTTGCCTTGCTCCAGTGAAAATACAATTGGTAATTGATAAGACAAGATGTCCAGATGTACATATGTGAATGCCAAACCTGCCAATAAGAAAAGACTCCAATGCACAAACCATATAGGTTGCTTGCATCATTGCCAACATCCAGTGATCTCTGATATTCAATATCCATAAACTTTATAACAGACCTCTCTTCAAGTAGAGAGGAGAGGAACCCATATGATGCAGTCCTGGTTGTTGTGGATTAATTTATGAAGCTTGCACATTTTCTTGTGTGTAGAAAGAAGATTGATGTGCCAGAGATGGCAAATCTTCTGTTCAGAAGAGTGTTTAAAGACTTCAGATTTCCAAACAATATTGTTTCAGACTGAGGATCTGTTTTCACAAGTGAATACTGATCAGAGCTATGTTTTCACATAAAAGTTAGACAAAAACTTAGCACAGTATTCCACCTACAAATGAACAGCCAAACAGAGGCACTGAACAAGATTTTGGAGGGATATCTTCATGTCTATTGTAGTCATAGACAAGATGATTGGGAGGAGTGGCTTGTGTATGCAGAATTTGCATACAACAGGTCAGAACACTTCACAACACACATGTCTCCATTTAAAGCAATGTACAGCTTCAAACCTAGGGGACCAGACAAGATCCAGAAATCAGTCAACAACAATGATGATGCACAGACAGCACCCAACAGAAGACTGAGAATGATCTTCACATTAAGAAATAGTCTGGTAGAACATTTGACAAAAGCAAAAGAGAATCAAGCACAGTTCTATAACCAAAGACATCAAGATAAAGTGTATGCACCTGGTGATGAAGTGATGTTGTTATCAAGAAACCTACAAACAATACATTCTTGCAAGAAGTTAGACAACAAGTACTATAGATCTTTCTTAGTGATAGAGGCCATAGAAAATAACACATATCAACTGAAGCTCCCTCTGAGCTATCAGATTCATAATGTTTTTCATGTTTCATTGTTGGAACCATACCACACAAGAACAGGTGAGACACCAATGTGTTCTCCCACAGTACTGGTAGATGACTATCATGAGTGGGAAGTAGATAAAATCTTGGACAACAAAGCACACTACCACAAGAGACATTATCTAGTGAAGTGGAAAGGATTCTCTATTGAGAAATCAACATGGGAACCTGAGGAAAATCTCAAAAATGCACAAGAAACCCTTAAGGATTACCTAAAGAAAAGACAAAATTACAAGAAGATAAACAAATCTACATACAGAAAGAAAGATAAACATGACACAAAACAACATAAAGACCACAACACACCTACAAAACCAAGAATTTAATGGCAAGAAGACATATCACAAGAGCATCTGAGACATGACTGTAACAGTAGTGAATCAGCTATAGATAAGTGAGACTTGAAAGTCACAGATATGTTTGGTACAACAACAGACAGAACCACAACAGAAGATACAGTCACAGAGAAAGACATTACAGACAAAGAAGTATAAAGAGAATGAAGCATTTCTACAACACTTCAAAAATCAGAAGAAACAATGTTAGTTAGACAATTAATAGAAGATATGAGGTTGGCCTAAGCAGAAGTTAGTCTGAGAACAAGTAAGATAGTACAGAAGATCTACAAGATCAGTTTCTATACTGTCTTAAAGAGCTTTGGTTCCACTCATTAAACAAGTTATAAGATAATCAAGCAAGATTCAGACATTTGCAACTTCATTTTCTACTCAAGAGAGAACAATACAAACTGAGCTTGACAAACAAGAGAACTCAGACAGACCATCTTTAGTAGATTCTGTCTCAGACACAAGGTCCACAGTCTTGACTACATGGTGTGAGGCAAGATAACAACATTTCATGGAAGATTCTTTGACAGTAGAAGTGGTCTGGCAGCAGTGACATTTAGCAGCTCCTGAGTCAAGCCCACAAAATTCACACACAAGTATACTCATGTACTTAACATTGTACAGACAACACAGATTGGCTGTGTCAAAACTATAATATTCTTCTTAAAGTTACAAGAGCCAACAAACTAGTTTAATGGCAGATTCTGGAATCTACAGCCATGTCAGAACAACAAGAAGAACAGACAAAGATACACTTATATTACAACAGGTACAGATTTGACATTCTAAATAATAAGAACAAGATTTCTTCTCAGTATTCTATAGACAAGACTCATCTTCATTCAGACAGTTCATAAACATCAAGTAAACACAGACAGAGTACAGAAGAGTGTCTTCTTTATTATATGCAACAGGGTCTTTTAACAACAACATCATAATAAGTTATAAAACAAACAAGAAATGATGCCTGAGCCCAAACAAAGCAGAAGAAAAGAAGAAAGAAGAGGGCCAGAAACTCTCTATTTATATCTATTATAACACACCAAGATTGCTAGTCCCACAACTTGTTGATAAACAACATGACAACAGACAACAGACAACATAGCAACCAGACAAGCAAACAAATAAAGAAACAAGTACATGACAAAACACTGGGCTTTTATAATAAAACAATTGCTATTCTATAATAAAGAATGTCTACTGCAACCAGCAGCAATACACATGCAGAATGTCTATATAGACAAGTAGTGAGTAATGCAGAAGCTTATACATTCAAGAACCTACAATACTCCACCAATGATAGAGGGAGCTACAATGATGTACAAAAAACCACTTCAGTGGCTCTATGTCTCAGAGTCCAAGGCCTCTGGGGGGGAGGGATAGTGTTATGAACATAGATCTAGACCAACCAAGCATCAGACAACATTAGATGTTCAGGAGTATTCACATGACCCCAACACTGAACATATAAGGATCACACAATTCACATGGATTGTGGGAACCCCAGCATTCAGTCTCTGAGTGAGGGGACCTCTTATGTTTTATGCATGACTCTCTCCCATCAGTTGCAGGCATTGTACCTACTTAGCTCTTTCATATCCCTAATCCTGGGAAAACCTACATGATCTACAACCAGTTCCCCTAATACAAGCCTTCCATTTGCTTGAACTGTACTGGTGATAGTAGTGTATTCTCAAACATAGGCGCGAATGTTGCCATCCCAAGCACGCGGTTTCTTTGTAATTGCCCAGAGGTAATTCTGACAGTGAATCTTGTAAGTAATGTCTTGATCATGAAATTCATGAATAATCTCTTTGGAGAATACTTCTCAATTACCTTCTTTATAGCCTTCCAAGGTCTTCATCCATTCTCCAATCCATGTAACACAGTACCTAGCCAACCATTCAATAATGTTTTTAGAATCAATTACTCCATGATTCTTGCATATCTGATAAAACCTTTCAATAAACAGGGTAGCATCTCTGCTGTCAAACCAAGGTGCATGTGCCGTGCCAGAGGAAGGCATAGGAATGTGGGAATGAACCACAATTCTCTTGTCCTCACCCAGTGACATAGTTGCATATGATCCTGTAGTACCTTCAGCCATAGTTGATTCTGATTCCAATTTCTTGGTTTCTTGATCTTTGGTCATGTCATACAGTATGTTCTGTCTATTAGTCAATATCTTTCAAAAACCTGTTTATTGGGCAAGCTCTAGATAAGAGGCATTCAAATCTAAGCTCCCTAACCTTATTCCTAAATAAAAAAAAACTGATTAGTACTGTGTTCCTAGTCCATAAGATCTTACCTTGAAATAGTGTATTGCTTCATGTGTCTCAAAATTTGTTTTTCTCTTCCTTGGCAGTCACCAAATCACCACATCATCATCTTCAGGTCTCAGCTTGGTCATCAAATGGAGTGGGGTACAATGGAATGCCTCATCAAAGTAAGCAAGTTGGTTGATATGGTGAGAGCACAAGAAAGATGAAAAATCACCACATAATAAGAGTATGGTCAAGTAGTAAGTGTAGAGATAGATATGTTCTAACAGACACCTAAGCTTGCAAGGAGTAATAGTACTAAAGAGCCCTGTACTAACACAGGCAGCTCTAATGAGAAACAGTAGCACATTTCATGAACAAGAAATCTTCATATTCTCTAACTAATAGCTGAACTGGTAGTAAGGAACAAGTGTATAGAAAAGAGCAATGGTGTGTGAAGGTAATAAGCAAGATGCAGGGGCTACAGGTGGTTTATATAGCTTAAGAATAGTAGCTTTGGGGTGGTTTGTGCCTTGGACCAGAACAACCTTTGTTCTAATGAGGTACCGGAATCCCCACTACACTAGCAGCAGATTTCAACATACTTACAGTTGATTTATTATAAATCTTTTTATCTTTTATTACTGTATTCATACACACATGGAGAATTCAGAATCTTCTGTAATTTCTTTATTAAGTCTTTCTAGTATCTCTGGCTAGTGCTCTGTAAACTAACTTAACTGTCTTAATGTCATCAGATCTCTTCTGTACTATCTCTACTTTACTACTTTAGACAGCACAAGCAGCATGTACTTGAATATCTTCTTTATTAAAGAAAGTTTCTTTAAATAAGTTCTACTCTAAAACATCATCTGTATAATATTATTTAAGTATATATGTTAGCAGATCAATATCTTCTTCTAGTTTGATATAATCTGGTCTTTGTGATAATATATCAGCTGGATTATACTTTTCAGAACAGTAGAGGATCTCAAAGTTGTATACTCTGAGAATCTCTATCTATCTTATATATTATTGTTGTACCATCTTGTTTGTGGACTTTATAAATGAATGAAGATTTGCATGATCTGTAATAATCTTTACAGAATACTTTATTTCTTCTAAGTACTGTTATTAATAAATAAATTCTTGAATAATGGCCAACATCTTCTTATCTGGTATGCTATAGACTTGTTGAGTCTGGTTAAACTTGCATGACCAGTAGAGAACTGAATGCCATCTGTTGTTGAACAGCTGTAGTAATATTATGTCTGTAGTATGTTCTGAAGTATCTGTTTCCAGATGTATTCTATATTCTGAATTGTAGTGATGAATGACAGGTTTTCTGGAGAAGACTGCTTTTAACATGTGAAATGCTTTTCTGGCAGTGAATATCAGAAGAAATAATTTCTTCTTTTATCTATTTTTACTGTCTTTCAAGAGATCTGTCAATAGCATCACAATAACTGAGTACTTTCATATGAATCTCTGATAGAAGTTCACAAAACCCAGAAATATCTGAATATTATAAAAACTTCATGGCAAGAGCCACTTTATAATTATCTGTACCTGCTTTGAGTCTATTTTAATATCTTCATTATTAATAATATATTTGAGATATGAGATCATTTATCTTTTGAAAGCATACTTAGCAAGCTTTACAAATAACTAGTATTTTCTTAGATACTTCATGACTAATCTAACATGCTTCTTGTACTCTTTCTCTGAGATAGAGAAAATAAGAATATTATCTAGATAAACTACATAGCATATGTCAACCAGGCCTGCCAGTGCCTTATTAATATAGAACTGAAAGATTGCTGGTGTGTTTGACAATCCAAAAGACATAACAAGATACTCAAAACTTCCAAACTTTGTACAAAACATGATCTTTCATTTGTCTTCTTCTTTGATTCTAATCTAGTGGTAGGCATCACATAAATTCATCTTGGAAAAGTAACATGCTCCTATCAACTGGCTCAGCATCTTGTTTATTAATGACAAAGAGTAATGGTTCTTCACCATGACTGCATTAAGACTATAATAATCAACACAGAGCTTGAGTTCTTTATTAGTCTTGGGTACAAACAACACTGAAGCCTCTGCTGAACTTCATAACAGATATATCTAACTCTTGCATAAATTGTTCTTGATATACTCTTGTAGAATCTCTGTCTGCTTGAGTAATAGTCTATAGATTAATATGTACAGAAGCTCACAGCTGTCTTTAAAAATAATCAGATAACTAATCTTTATTAATTCTGGCAACTCTGCTGCTTTTTCTTCTGAGAAAATATTTTTATAGTATCTTAATCACTCAGGTACTTTTGTCAAGACTTGATTATCATCTGACACAAAAATAACATAAAAGAGTTTGTTCTTGATGCATACTACTTAGAGAAATCTATTTGTATTCAGAAGCTTTACTGTTTTCTTCAAAAATTAGTACCACCATATTTTGTTCTTTCAGTCTATATCCAGATTGAAGTCTTCCAACCATAATATATCTAAAACTATATTTATGTTGACTATCTCAATCATCACAAATATATATCTTACTATTTTTATGACTCCTATTGAGTCTGTTATAGTGAGTTATGCTTTGTAGATGCTGTACCAATCAGTCTCAGCTGTGTTTAACATCTCAATGACTTCTATAGGTATCTCTGGTTGATCCAAGTCCAATTAGAATGCTAGTTTGTAGAAAATACTATTCACTGTAATACCTGAGTCTAACAGTACAGCTTGCTCTGTAAGACCATCTGATAATATAGTCAGTATGGCCAACAGGCACATACTGCACCTGCTTGCCTTCTCTATTGAGTTAACATTCTATCTTTCTAACATTTGATCTGAGTCTCACATGGGCTTTGCAGCTCTAGTCTTTATCTGGTCTTTATTCTTTTTATCTATCTGCTGGAACTTGTTTGAACTATTTATACAGAACTTTGCTTTACAATCTGATTGATCACATCTCAGACAGAGCTCTTTATTTATTCATTATTTGTATTTTTCTTTCAATATTTTTGGAAGTAGCTTCACCAACATCTTTTTTATTTATGAATAATGTTCTTTATTATCTTGTTGAGATGTATCTTTCTCTTGAGAGATTGAGATTTTCCATTTCTTCTTATTTTGATTCTTATTCCACTGGCTTTGCTTCTTCTTTTCTAGAATGAACTTAATAATTGTTGCTTGTTCTTATAGTTTCATAACTATTTTTGATTGGTGTTGCAATTTATGTAGTTCAGCCTGGATAATTGGTCTGAGCTTTATTTATAGAAAGAGTATACAAAAGAATTCATCTGATAGATTATCTAGATCTTGTTCAAGTTGGATGATGTATGTGAAAAATGAGGATACCAATTGATTTTCCTGTTGGATAGCATTATAATAGTGCTGCATTATATCTCAACTGCAAGTTATCTTAGGTTCAACATTATTCTTACACTACATCTTGAATTTATTTCATAATGTAGGTAGTTGTTCTTTCTCTATTCTTAATATCTGCCAATGCATCTGAGATTTATTACAAAAATGACTGGACACTTAATTAATTCTGACTGCATCTGGTGTCTTTTGTAGTGATTTTCTCAGGCAAAATAGCTGTCTTATTGAAGCTAACTATAGTTTGCACTTGTCAAGTGATTTGCCATGGTAATAAGATATCTTTGAAGACTTCACATCATTAAAGTCATCTGGCTCCTCTATTGGTTGTGTGTGTAAGAGGAACTTTAAGAGAAAATTATCATTTACTATTCTCTGTTTGTATTTAATCTGCTTTTGCAGTCTGCATATTTTATTTTGTTTATGTATGTCTGCTAGATTCTTTTGTAGATATGCCTTCTTTTCTTTAAAGATCTCTTCTCTTTGGGTTTTATCTGATGTATTGAGAAGTGCATCTTTATTGTCTATGTTATTTGCTGGTGTTTTGCTAGTGGTGGCTCCACTGCTTCTAATGCCTTTATCAATATTCATTTTCTCTATATTGGTGTCTATCTCTGTCAGGTCTGCAATGTGGGGTGTTATTGTAGTTTGTCTTGTAGGTCTTAGTAGCATTGTACTGACTTAGGCAATTGTATGTTGGAGTATTCAGAATGTTAGAAGAACTAGCTGTAGATTATGTAGATTTTCCCAGGATTTAAGATATGAAAGAGCTAAGTAGGTACAATGCCTGCAACTAATAAAAGAGATTTGTGTGTAGAACATAGAGATTCTTTAACTAGAAGACTAAATGCTAAGGTTCTCATGATCTGTGTGAATCATGTGATTCTTATATGTTCAGAGTTGGGATCACATGAGTACTCCTGAACATCTGATGTTGTCTGATGCTTGGTTGATCTAGATCTACATTTGTAACATAATGACTCTGTATGTACTATCAAGGTTTATTTAATGACTATATGTCTGATAAAGCTGAATGCAGTTGAGAATTTGAGGCAAAGTCATTATTGCAGAGTATAACAACATTAAATCATATTGAAAATTGTAGAGCAATAAGTGCAGAATATGCAAGCAATTCATACTAGATATAGATACTTTCTCATAAACTTTGAGTGGGTTGTCAATTGCTTGAAAATCAAAATCTGTATGTAAAGATTTTTTATGGATAAGCTGCATAAAATCAGACAAATTAAAGGCTCTGTTCATTATAGAGATTACTAATACAATTCAGATATGGTCTCTTGAGATCAAGATAATAGTCTTGTAGACAGAGGTTCTTGAATTCTTAACTTTATGTTCTTTATCAAGTATCACATGTGTGAAGAAGTTTTTGATCAGCCAATCAAGTTTTCTGTAAAGCTGCTGAAGCATGTTCCTGAATACATTAGAAAGTCCATCTAGCTGTATGGTAGCATCTGGAGTCTTGTGTTGTATAGCTAGATCATCAGAGCTTGAATACATGTACTGTTACCATATTAAATATAACATGATGATAACTGTTGTTGTGGTCTTTGGATCATTTTTGTTGAGCTTTTTAAATTCAGATTTTAATGTAGTTTTGTTAACAATAAACTTCTTGAGAATGTCATTAATGATCTCTCTACTGCCAAGAATGCTGTAAAAAAAAATTAGTTGAATGCTATCAGAGAAGAACTGAACAATCTGATTAATTTAATTGGTGATAACTTCATTCAGACAGATAATCAGAGTAGAATAATATGGTTCAGTTAACTTTTACTCTTTTGCTTTGAGAATTAAAGTGTAGTATTGTACAGTCTTTCCTAGTTCTGCTTCATTAGCAAGAATTCTACATTCCACTGCTAACAGCTCCTGTGTCAATTTTCAAGCAACTCTGATGACTTGTCAAGATTTTAGTATAAGATTTGCAATCATTAGGTTGTCAGAGTCCATATTCAAGTTAGAACAAGCAGTAAGATAATCTGAAGCTTCTGCTCCAGTTATATTGAGTGTATAATTTAGCTTAAAGAGAGTATTGCTAGTATTCTCAATAGAATCTTTATTGTTGTCATCATTATTACTTATTTTGAGATGTTCCAGATGTTTGATATTAGCTATTAGTTTATTGTCAGATCTGTACTTTTTCATAAATAGTATTTTGATATTGATAGTATTTTTGATAAACTCTTCAAGTAAGGCTTTTCTTGTGCCTTTATCTATAAAAGGCAAAGAAATATCAGAGCTAATCTCATGAATAATCTTGTTTACAGTTTTGACAGTATTATTGATGTTCTTGAAGAAATCAGCATTAATATTTTTATTGATAGAACCAATTTCAACATTGTCTTAAAACTCTTTGTCAATAGCTGTGATAATAGCAGTCTTGACTCCTGCCTTTACAGCAGAGTCATCTTACATATTTAGGTCTGCATACTTTGAAATGATTACTTTATTATCTTGCTTATGATCTTTTTCTTGTTTAAGCTGCTGACTGGCAGATCTTATCTGTACTGTGTACTTCAATAGAAGAAGAAGTCTATGTATGTTTTCAGAGTTATTATCTTTGAATCTTCTCTTGGATTTTGCAATTAATTGCTGAATAGCCTATAATAATGCTACAGTAGAAATATTATTAGTAGGCTCAAGATTCTTGAGATTATTGTCAAGTAAAGAAATTTCTGCCTGTATTTGTAGAAGCTTCATTTTCTCTATTACATTAATATGAATTGAGATGTTGGATCTATGTGCAGGGCCAGTTCTACTGAAGAAATGGCTGTATTTCTTGTGAAATGTAGTTAAAACATAGTTAATTTCATCTGATTGCATTCATTCTTACAATATGCCTGTTGTTGAAAAGCCTAAATATTCTGCAAGCTTTGCTTGATTTTCATGGATTCAGCTACCATCAAGTACATGAACTCTGGAGATTATTACTTGAGTAAAGATCTTCAGTCTTAGCTGTCTTGGAGGCCTTTGGTGTGCTTATTTTCTTTAATAAAGTTGGAGAATCTATTTCTCAAGCTAGGCTAAACTCTATGTTAGAATGATAACCAGTCACTCAATATAGTAGATATTGAGGCATACTAGCTATATGAGGAGGATTTCAAGTTGGAAGATGCATTGCATATCTAGATGTATAATACACAATATCACAAAAAAAGTCTTTGAATGATGCCTAAGTTCAATATCAGCTTGTTGCTTATGAGGAAGAAAGTGCTTATAGAGCTTGTTTTGCAAATAGAATCTTATAAAGAAGTCTGTAAGAACTCTTTATTTATACTCATGCTGCAATACACTAAAATTACTAGTTCTATAATTTGTTGATAAACAACATGACAATAGACAACAGGTAATATAGCAACCAGACAAGCAAATAAACAATGAAATAAGTATGTGATAAAATACTAAACTTTTGTAATAAAATAATTACTGTTCTACAACAAAGAATATCTACTGCAACTGGTAATGATACATATGTGGAATATCTATATAGACAAGCAGTAGAAATGCAATAGCTTGCACATTCAATATTCTATAATGCTTCACCAATAACAGAAGAGCTATAATAATAATGTATGTAAAACTACTTTAATAACTCTATGCCTCAGAGTTCAAGGTCTCTGGAGAGGAGATCATATTATAAATGTAAATTTAGACTAATAAAGCATCAGACAATATTGAATGTTCAGAGATACTTATGTGATCTCAACTCTAAATGTATAGGAATCACACAATTTACATGAATTGTGGGAACCTCAGTGTTCAGTCTTCTAGTTAGAGAATCTCTACATTCTACACACAACTTTCTTTTATTAGTTATAGGCATCAGTTCTACTTAGCTCTTTCATACCCTATTCTGGGAAAATCTATATGATCTACAGCTGGTTTTCCTAACATTACAATAATCAAAAAAGTAACAAAATTTGATAACAGTCTTGTTATGAATGTAGACCTAGACCAATGAAGCATCAGATGATGTTAGATGTTCAGAAGTACTTATATGGCCCCAACTCTGAATATATAAGAATCACATAATTTGCATAAATTATGGAAATCTTAGTATTCAGTCTTCTAGTTAGAGAATTTCTATATTCTATGCATGACTTTCTTTTATCAGTTGTGAGTATTGAATCTACTTAGCTCTTTCATATCTGATTCTGGGAAAACTCTTGTAATCTATAACTGATTCTTCTAACATTCTGAACACTCCAACATATAATTGTCTAAGTTGGTATAATGTCATCAAGATTTACAAGATAAATTACAACAACACTCTATATTGCAGATCTGATAGAGATAGATACTAATATAAAGAAAATGAACATTGATAAAGATGCTAGTAGTAGTGAAGTTATTATCAATAAAATATCAGTCAATAATGCAGACAATAGAAATACACCTCTCAATATATCAGATAAACTCTGAAGAGAAGAGACTCTGAAAGAAAAGAAGATACATCTGCAAAAGAATCTAGCAAACATATATAAATAAAATAAAAATACAGACTTCAGAAGCAGATTAAATATAAATAAAGAATAATAAACAACAATTTTCTCTTAGAGTTTTTCTTACACATATAACTAATAGAGAAGTCAGATAATTTTAATAATGTGAAGTCTTTAAAAGCATTTTATTATTATAGTAAATTTCTTAATAAGTGCAAATTATAATTAGCTTTAATAAAACAGCAATTTTATTTGAGAAAATCACTACAAAAAATATCAGATACAGTCAGAATTAATTAGATATTCAGGTACTTTTATAATAAATCTCAGATGCATTGGCAGATGTTGAAAACAAAGAGAAAACAACTACTTATATTATAAAATAAACTCAAGATATGATGTAAGAACAACATTAAATCTGAGATAACTTGTAATTAAGATATAATGCAGCACTACTACAATGCTGTTTAACAAGAAAATGAATTTATATTCTTATTTTTTATATATATCACCAAACTCAAACAAGATCTGAACAGTCTATCAGATAAATTCTTTCATATACTCTTTTTATAAATGAAGCTCAGATTAATCATCTAGACTGAACTTGATAAACTGCAACACCAATTAAAAATAGTTGCAGAATTACAAGAACAAGTAATTCTTATTAAGTTTATTCTGAAAAAGAAGAAGTAAAGTCAGTGAAATAAGAATTAAAATAAGAAGAAACAGAAAATCTTAATCTCTCAAGAGAAAGATGTATTTTAATAAGATAATAAAGAAGATTATCCACAAATAAAGAAGATATCAGTAAAATCACTTTCAAAAATATCAGAAAAGAAATACAAACAACAAATAAATGAAGAGTTCTGCCTAAGATATTGCTAACCAGATTATAGAGTAAAGTTCTGTACAAACAGCTTGAACAAGTTTCAATAAACAAATGAAAAGAACAAAAATCAGATAAAGATCAGAGCAGTAAAGCTCATGCAAGATCTAATTTAAATATTAGAAAGATAGAGTGTTAATTCAATAAAGAAGACAAGCAGACACAGTATGTGTCTATCAGTCATACTGACTACACTATTAGATAATCTTACAGAACAAGCTGCACTGTTAAATTCAGATATTACA